AACCAGGGGCATGCTCAGTGGGCAGAGCGCTACGGAGAACTTTCCTCAGCGAGTGGGTTGAGCGTGTGGGTGAGCGTGTGGGTGAGTGTGTGGGTGAGCGTGTGGGTGAGCGTGTGGGTGAGCGTGTGGGTGAGCGTGTGGGTGAGCGTGTGACTGTTGAGTGGGGAGCAGTAGTTTAGTGGTTCGCGCGCTGCGCTGTGAACCCGACGACCCGAGTTCGATTCCCGCTCATGGCCAACACCAGTGACGATTATCTGAACCGGTCCTGGGCCTCCCCTAGGTCGACTCAGCATCAAATGAGTACCCAGTGCGGTGTGTAAACATCGCCACTGGGGAGACAAAGGCGGTCGGGCGTGGTGCTGGCCACCCACCCCCTCGTGTACCGTTCCGGCCTTCATAGGTGCTCGCTAACAGCACTTGCCCCTACAGTCTGCTAAGGCTATATGGGGGATCTTTGTCGAGTGGATGAGTGTGTGACTGTTGTGACCTACCATGTGCTGCTTGAACACGGCTTGGATGAGACAAAGTCCTCAACATGAGTGTATATGTTGTAATTAATTATTGCCAATCTTAGAGTCACGAATGTAAATATACATTCATCTAATTTTTTAATGCACAGTGCCTGCGTGTGCACACGTGTGAATGGCAATATGAAAAAAATGTGCTCACTGCATCCACAATCATTTCGGAGCAGAACTGGTGGTGTGCACGACTCAGCACGCCTTGACGTGAGGCTCTCAAAGCCAGGCGCTTGACCGCTAGAAGCCACACTCTGCGCTGCGTCGACCGGTGCGTGCGTGCCCCTACACACGCGGTGTGGGCACTCTGCTAGACTTAGCGGCACTATCGTGTGACGGCAACTCTGCTGCAGCTCGTCTGCGTGTGAATGTAAGTGAAACAACACAAGCCGGCTTGACGCTCGTGCCTCACAGCAAGAAAATCCTGGGTTGGATTCTCGATTAAGGCACCTTTCTGTGTGCAGTTTCCATGTTCTTCCTCTGTCCTTCATGGGCTTCCTCTGGGGCCCCCTGTTTCCTCCCGAGCTAAAAACGTTAGATGAAATTAGAGTTGGCCCAAAAATCGTGATGCAGGTAAAAAAAATTATTTCCTTCTCAAATTCGACTTGAGCCAGTGCTGTTCTCCAGTGGGGGGTGAATATCTATGTCACAACGTGGTATCTATTTTATTGACCCAGAGGGATGATGGACTGAGTCAACCCCTAACCAGAATTCACAGTCTTCCAAATGCGAGCCGCTCACTCTTCCGCCGTGCCACCTGGCCGATTACAGTGCAGGATCCTCCTGAAAAAAGAGCCCTCAGACTCGTTGTGGCTTTGCTGGGTAAATAAGTAAAAAAATCACAATCACAGGTGTGACCGACAAAGAACACAGATTGGGCACGCATGCCAGAGCGCACTGCAGCCAATTGCTGGACCTGCATGGTTACTACAGGAAGCCATAGCAGGTGCAAGCCATTTATATTTAAATAAATAAGCAAACACTGCAGACATCTTTAATGCAGTGGACACGAGTCTTCCTGAAAAACACTGCCGGAACTTCTGTCTTGGACAAAGACGTCAAACCTCGAGAGAGTTCTGTGTTACGTGAAATATATATATATATTTATATCGAGTACAGGGGAGTGAAGAAGAGTCTGCCCCCTGACACAAGCGGGGTGACGACCCACGAGGCATCAATCTTTGCCCGTGGCTCTGTGGGGCCGAGGACCCCGGCGCGATGAGGAAGTGAACCAGACACGAGAATTTCCACCGCTGTCACCTCCATTACAGTACGATTCTCGGTCACAGCACAAACTTTTAAGTGGTTGCTTTATATATATACACTTTCAATAGAATCCTCTTCACAGTGCAAGACCCAGGCACCTTTTGATGAACACTCCTGCTATGGAGCCAATGTACACATCCGTGTCTATCGCTTTATACATGAGCACTTAGTGGTGGAATCAAAAGAGTAAAACAAGTAAAAGTCAAAGTCATTTCCTGCTCAAATGAGCATTTATGCCATGCTCATCTCCTGTTTACAACCCTGTGGAGCCATTGGTGGAAATTACACATTCCTTTGGCGGGAGTGAGTATATCCATCGGACAACCACTGTTTACTTCCACACAGTGGCACTCGACCCCTGAGGGACGATGAGTCAACGTCCGTCCAGGATTTGAATTCTCGCAAAATCCCCGATTGTGAGGCGGTCACTCGACCAGAGCCACCTGAAAAGAGAACTCAGAAGCAGAGGAGATCAAGGATCGTCACGACGTTTAATGTCCACGTCCTTGACCTCGAGCTGATGAGGGGTTTTAAGTTGCAGTGAATACGTCTGAAGTAGAAATAAGCTACGTGTGGCAGATTTAATCCAGTGAGAGTTAGGGCACTCCTGTAAGTGCAGATATCATAGCACACGATGCCAGTAATGCCTGTTAAAAATGCGTTGCTATATTTTTAGAAACGGTAAGTCACAAAGTACGTGAATAAAACGAGTGCAAGTTTGATTCCAACACTTATATCTGAATGAAAGTAAACCAATCGCAGGGTCCGTGTCCACACACCGTTACAATATCCCCACACCATGACAATATCCCCAGGGCACAACACTCTACGGTGGTGTGGATTAGATTATAGCATATATTCAACAAGTGTTGCAATGCATTATCCATTGAAAAGTGTAAACATATGGTAAAGTGGTTTTAGGCCAGATAAAAGTATGCCTAACAGTGCCGAAAAGCGAGAACGTTTTCACTGCATCCCAACACAAGTGGGTTCGGCTTTCCCTTTGAGGAGCCGTTGGAGCACAGTCGTGAGACTTCACACAAGCAGCTGGGCTGGTCACACCGATTGCCGGCAAAAGAGGAGCCACCACCAAGACGGCCCAGCACGAGAGGCTGCCGTTCGTGCTGCCGCTAGCGCTGCCGCACTCCACCAACTATGCGTTAATTTCTGCTTCAAACGCACAACGCCGTGTGTGATGTGGCCCGATGGAATTCGACAGGATGCTTAACAAATCTTTCTCATGTGCTCACGCCGACCATGGGACTTTCCCTTGGTTTCACCAAACGGACGGTGCAAATCTCGTGACAAGCACCCAGCGCTCCACCCGCTTTAGGCTTTGACAGCGAAGCAGACGAGTTAATTCTCGAATTTGTGTCTGGCACGCCTGGAGTAACGTGTCGTGAGTCACGCATCACAGAGTCATGTGTCAACGTGGCAAGGCAGTGACATCTCGTTCAGTGTATGGGCACTCACAGCAACAGGAGCGGCAGTAGTGATGCCAGCGAGCAAAACTGGGGCCACCAGACAGAGACGTTGCAACAGAAAACAAAACAAAGACAACTTCACTCATGAGAGTCATAAGGCGTCAGGGTGTCTCCCCTGCTCATACATTCTCCTTCCCATTGAAGGTCTTGAGTAAGTGGTGGACGTTCCACATTCCTATGGGGTGCACCAGTTGCTCTGCAAACGATGGGGTGGAGTGAAGCTGCAACGTTGAACGCTCGTCCTAACAACTGCGAGTTGAGAACTGCCAAATAAATAGCAGTGCCGAGAAGTAATAATATAAATAATAAGAAAAGTTCAGTTTACAAGCTCTGGAGGCTTCAAGTGCAATTTGCGTTTCAGGGGCCACTGTATAAATTGTTGACGTGAGTGGTAGGAAGGGAACATAACCAAATTATCCACAATGGATTATTTAATCAAAAGAGATGGCATTTTTCAGAATGTATTTTTTATATATATAACCAGAAACTTTGTTTTCCACATTACATGCATTTATTTACACGAGAAATATTTATGTTGACTAGTTTTATGTTAAAATATAGTAACTTTAGAATACACGTATAGTTAAATGGTTTGAACTGCCTTGCCTAATTAACATCCTCATTGACAAGTGCAATGCAGTTTACGTAACTTTTCATTGGGAAAAAGGCTACAAAATCACAGCAATTTCCACCAAACAGTAGAAGAAAATACATTCTTACCAACATGAACATCATGCCCATCGTTCAAAAAAACGTTTAGATAAGAAGCTAAGTTTAACATGCACTGTAGATCAACCTCACCTTGTTTGGAAAGTCTACCGTGGTTGCCCAACGGTGCATCTGGCCTCTACCATAAGAAGTTCCCACCACTGGCTAAGAGCGAATAATAGAGACGAAGGCCGAGCCATGCTTGTTCAAGTATTCCATTCGTTAGCGGAATTGGCCAAACATGCCAATACAGAGCCATCAGGTAAAACAGCCTTGAGACTCAGTGAAGATGTTCTGGACAAAAGCGAGGCATTATTGTTATTCATCATCATCATTAGCTATGATAAATCCACTTTTGGATGAAGGCCTCCCCAATCCATTGCCATATCTCATTATCCTGCAAGATAATAATCCACCTGGAACCTGCACACAATCTGATTCTATCACTCCGTCTCCTCAGTGGATGTCCTCGAGAACGAGTTCCATTCCTCGGCTGCTAGGTCGTCATTGCTCTTGACCAGGGGTCGGGAACCTTTTTGACTGGGAGAGCCATAAAAGCCAAATATGTCTAAATATATTTCATTGAGAGCCATATAGTATTTTTTACGTATAATAAATTAAATATGTCTTACTTTTAATGCGACTTCTGGTGCTATATGGTTTTGCTGATGGCCTTGTTGTCTGGTTCATACGTGGTGAGGTTGAGCTTCATGCAGGCGTGACCCGTGAAATTTATCTTCAAAACTAATTTCTGTTTACTTTAAAATGACACCATAGTATTAAACAATATCACAAGTATTTTAAAATCAATTCCAAACAGATTTTTTATTTTTTTATTACTATTATTTTTTTCAACTCAAAATTGTCTGGGAGCCATATGCCGTCACTGGAAGAGCCATATATGGCTCGCGAGCCATAGGTTCCCGACCGCTGCTCTTGACTGTCGGCTATCGTTATTTTGTATCGACGTGACGTGGCACAACGTAAACGTAAGAAGCCCCGCTGTGCGCGTGCGTGCCGTCAGCTGGAGGGGTTCATCCAGGACAGCGTGCACAGCGAGACGGCGCAGCAGCAGCAGACGGCCGTGCACAACCAGACGGCCGCCATGCTGCAGATCGGCACCAGCCTGCTGAGCCACACGGCCGAGCAGACGCGCAAGCTCTCCGACGTGGAGGCGCAGGTAAGGGGGTGGGCGCGCTGCGCCGGCCACATCACCTCTTCCCGGGCTGTCCAGCAGGAGATGCTGCGAGGTTCAGTTCCGAGGGGCTCCCGGCGTGGAGATACAATTATCGCACATTGTGCCCAACGCCACGGGGCACAACCCGAAAACACATCGGAGGGCCGAAGAGCAGCACTCGCATATCCCGGTGAACCCAAATCTAACCCATTGCACTGCCTCACTGTCAAGGCCACAAAACCTGGTGCACGGATAAGTTGGAACGTATTTCCTTTAATCAGAATAGTTATGCCATGCTACGGAGGGTGCTCTATGTTTACTATTCACTGGTGCGAAATGCTGCTCTTCCCAAACACTCCAGTAATGTCTAGCCCGCAGTGCTAGTCTGTGCAGTTGCTGTGAGTGCATAGTCTGCACGCTGAGCAAGGCTACAAAAGTACATGTCACTTCAGTGGTCCGGACACAAAGCTCTACGCCCTTACACTGCAAGCAAAAATAATCCGCATTCACATTCCATTCCCTGCATCGCAGGTAAGTGACCCAACGAGGCTTGAATGGAGAGCTAAAGCAGAGGACTTAAGATGTATTGTCTCAAAAGACAGAGTGTGTCTATATAGCACACACACCCACAGAGAGCGACGTACCAAACACAAACTATTGGACATATGCAACAGCTTGTTGTGACAGCACAGCCACCTTCTGCAGTCGTCGGTTCCAGCAAGAACACTTGTGCAAGTGGTTCAGCAGACGCGTCATAACGCAGCTGCTAAAAGAAAAAAAACATCACGTCTAATAATGGCATCAAAACGCACAAGCGTGAAAATGTATTAACTGCACTCACGTCTGCACAAAGCGGCGCGGGCATGGCTGGATACATTTTTCACTCGAGTTAGGTCGGACAACATAATTTATGTATGTCATCTACACTTACACGAACGCATAATAAATCATCCTTTCCTCCGCTCGACAGCCATAACTATTAGCACAATCACGCCGCACCTGCCTGCAGAATTCATTACAGCGTAATGCGCTTGGACACTGCGCATATACAGCGCTGCACAGTCCAATGAGCCTCTGATGCATACGTGTGTGTGTGCGAGTTATACTATCTGAGCCGCTGCATCGTTCAAAATGACTGATCATCTTACACATTCATTGCAAATTTACATGTACGAAGCAAGACTGTTTTGCAAAGATTTGTTTCCAACTTGGGCATAAATCTTAAACTAAACCACATACACCTTGGAGAGAATAGAAGGTCAGAGTATGAGATCTCAGCGGAGTGTCGCTCTACTGCGTGTCGGCTGCATGCGGCGCAGGTGTTAAACCAGACGACCAGGCTGGAGATTCAGCTCCTGGAGAACTCGCTGTCGACCAACAAGCTGGAGAGAGAAGTGCTGCAGCAAACGCATGACATCAGCCGGCTGCACGACAAAAACAGGTAACCAGGATCACGGTGCTGTCCACGCTCGGGCACTGACAGCAGCAGTTCGCAACTTGTGGGTCGGGTCGTGCCCCCCCACAAGGCATTTCGAGGGGGGGTGGGGGAGGAGGGAGGTGCAGGCTGTGGCATGGACACTGTGCAAGAGAAGTTTTGAATCTGTGTGGGGAACATGAGCGCCAAATTATTCGCACGGTTGGCTACGTATGGTGCGAAATAAATTCAACATACATATAAATTGCGGTGACAAAACACTGTAATACCCACCGCCGTTGACGAGAGACACGGACATCTCTCTGTGCGAAGCTGGGTGAGAGGGCGCAGGGACCCTTGGCCTTGATTAGGGGGCGGGGGGGCTGCAACGTACCAATACAGTTGAGATCCACAGCCTTGGAGGGGCACAGAAATAGCCATGAGGGGGTCACGGCAGGTGCCTTTGCAAAATGACTGCCTGCCATTTTTTCCACAAAAGACAACCAGTTGTCTGTGCAATCAAAGCCAATGAAGCACAAAGACTTCTCCATTCACGTGAGAACCCACAATGATTTGAGGACATTATGCATTTTCATCAACATCTAAAACTGCGCTGCACTAAAATGAGTTGAACACAAGTTCACCTCAAGGCAAATAGTAAAATAAACTTGCATGTCGTTATGTAACCACGTGTTGTTGTCTATGCAGCTATTTAACCATGGGTCTAAGGACATGGGTCTACGGACATAGGCGACCTTGCAAATAGCGTCTTGTCCAGATGCTAATGTCAGGGCAGTGAATCACGGATACAATTTGGAAAAAGAAAATCGTCTCTGCAGGGCGGGAAGCTGAGACTTCTGTCTGCAGTGGCCACTTGAATTGGGAACCATCCCCCAGAAGACCCCTCTGGGGGATGATATGAATTGTTAAAAAAAAAATTATGCAACCACACAAAGAGCGCGAAACAAACATAGCGTACTCCCTCCCATCAGAAATGTGAAAGAGGCACAACAATTTTCAGTGATTACGTACTCTGGAAAACAGACATTGACCACAAGCTTCAACATTCACGATGCTCACAGATGTAAAAATCCGGAAATGTTTAAGAAGCACTTAAACTGCACAAGTAGTGAGCTTCAGAGGTCACGGTGTGGTTCATTGCAAAACATGTTGAGAATGATGGCAACATGCTTAATGCAAAAATATTTATAACCTGCATGTTTTCCTGGTGGAAATTCGACATTCCTTTGGCAGGAGCATGTGACTCCCCCTTGGGATAACCACTGTTGGATTCTCCACAGAGTGATATTGATTTCATTGACCCTGGAGAAATGATGGGCTGAATTAACATCAGACACTGCACATTATGTTCCTGTCATGAAAATATATGATTCAAAAACGTTGTAATATTTTTGCCACAACCTCCGACAACGGTCCGGTACAAGAACACTTTGTAACACAAAAAAAGGGGAGCTCTACGAGATTCTCAAGAATGTTTATTGGACACGACTCCCATTGTGTCCGAAGCATCTGCACTCTCCGCTGGCAGGCTGACCAAGTCTCGCTCCTGCGCCAGCACCGCTAACACACAGGGGACCCAGTCCCACTCAAGTGATTTACTCCTCAAATCAGCGTGGAGGCGGTGAGCTCAATGGTGAAAGTTCAACATTCCTATGGCAGGGACGAGTCTACTCACAAGACAACGACTGTCGGCTTTCCCATGAGATGTTATCCCTGGAGGGTTGATGGGCTCAGTCAACCCCCAACCCAGATTTGAACTCGCCATCGGGAGGTCCGGCAAAAAAAAGTTTACTTCTTCAGCAGCATCGAAGAGTTTTAATTTATCGAAGCCAGGTCGTCAAATCTGCACAAAACAACAAACTCTCTCTTGATTGGTGTTGGTGAAGCTGCTACGAACCGGCCCGGCTCAGAGCGCAGCCCTCCACTGCGTTGCTCCCGGGCGCAGTCTGGCGCCGCGCCTCGAGACTGCGATCATCACGTGCAGGAAGCTTTCCTCTCTACTCTCACTGCTCGTTGATTGGCAAAAACAATGAAAAATGGGTAAAATAACACCCGCACGTACACGCAGCGAGGCGTGTAATAATATTTTTAAAAAATCCTGTAAAACCACGCAAGCAGGAACAACTTGGTCCCGCATGAACACAAGTTGAACTTCCAGGCGTAGCTGCGCTCTTCAAACAGCGGCGCTCATCTCCCCCGACTTGACCCGGCAGCTCTCGAGCTGCCATCGCTCAAAGCGACCGGCCCGTCCTGACAATTCAAGGGCATCGCACCAGGACTGCCTGCAAATGCGAGACCCGCCACAGACGCGCTCCGGTTGAACGACGAAAATCTTGCCGAGCTGTTTCAGTCAAAGCGCGGCTTGAGCACGGCGCCAAAAGAGGGCTCTTAAAACAAGTGCGTAATAAATCACGATCGTGCTGAATGTTGCCACAAGCAGTGATTTTGAAGCTGATTTAAATAATTCATTTGCACTTGACACAGAAAATAAGGAAGTTTTCATTTCCAATTGTGTCACATTTTAATGATAAAAACCCACCATGAGCACAAGCAAGAGAATAAACACAGGTGTCAAGCTTAGTGTCAACTTAGACTCAATTGCACAATATGACATTTAAAAGCTCTTTGAATCGGTATCCATTCATCTTAATGTCATATAACCTCAACTTTTGTAGTGAACAACTTAAATTTTACGTGTAATAATAGTCTCTGGGTTTTTTTGTTTAAGGGTAATAATCCTCGACTTGTGGTGCACGTAACATACGGCAAAGCAAATGTCGAATGGCAGAAATCTATTCTCGCCCAGGGAGTCTCAGTGGAGATGTTGGGCCCCAGCTGCGAAGGGGAGCACCAATCTGGAGAAACCTGCGATCGCTCATTCTGCCGGCAGCAGCGCGCATGATCTATCACGATCCATTGGTGTGTTCTGTTGTACGTATGCACTGTATGTTGAACTTCTTTTGCACCGTACATAGCCAACCGTGCTAATCGGAGGTGCAGTTGCCCTAGCTATGAAGTCTGCTACGAGTACCGTGAGGCAGACAGCCCAACACGCCAGCGCAAAAGGCACAGCACAATCTGATAGATCTCTACCCCATGATCAGAACCCGACTCCAAAACGATGATTTCCCTCCCATCGTCTCCCATCGTTTCTTTTCCCTAGCTTAATCAATTCAAGAAAGGCGTTAACTTTTTTCTATTACAACTTTGATGGTGCTGTTTGTTCCTGAACATTTTATTCCTTGGGCCTTTGGGCCTATGCTCCGAAACTGTTTGAAAAACACAAAAAACTGTGGTTATGGGCTTGGACGGTCGGCACACGTGCAGTCACGTTCGTTAGATGAGCATTTCCGCACGCACGTCCACGTTCTCTTGTTTGGCACGAAACATTTTGCATTCCATAGTTGGTGGGATGTGGAAGACAACCGAGAATCGGGTTGTGCAAACACGTTCCATTCCCTACAAACAAAACTGATGGTATTGCTACGTGAGTAAAAGTGATGAGAGAATATGAGGTTCCCTCCTAAATTAAACTCTGCTTTGCTCTTCAATGAGGAGGGACCCTCACCGCTACGACTGCAAATGGATGCCCAGCACAGCAGTAGAAATGTACCCCGCTGGGCGGTCCCGTGGCACAGTGCTCCTGTGCAAGGGGTCACATCGGCACATCATCCCTCCAGGGTCAATAAAATTAGCATCCCTTCAGTGAGATAGTGGTTGTCCTATGGAGAGAATGGCATCTGTTATGGTAACAACCGCAAACACACTTGCAAACGAGATGTTCCAGCTAAAAACTGCCAGTGGAGATGAGCACCCAACGCTCAAGCGAGCAGCAGGGAGACACTGTAACACGACTTGGTAAGTGACGATGACTGACACGGCACTATTTGGCGATGGCTGCGCGGTGGATGTCAGCTTGCTGGAGCGGAAGGTGGTCGAGGTGGAGCAGAGGCAGCAGCAGGAGCTGCAGGCGCTGCGGCGTGAGCGCGACGAGCTGCAGCAGGCTGTGGTGCAGCGCGGCGAGCTCATGGACGCCCTGGAGCGCCGGCTGCTGGGGGCCACGCACAACCAGACGGTGTTGCAGCGGCAGCAGGCGGAGCTCACCGAGACGGTGCGCACGCTGCTCAACGCCATCGCGCAAGGTACACGGCGGCGGTGGCCACGGTAACACGTGCAGGATAGAGACCCCAAACGTCCTGGGTCTGGCCGAGACGGTCTCGGTGGTTCAAGAAGGTCTGTCCCCGTGTCCACACTCAAACTCGGACCAATTGAAACATTAAACATCTGAAAATGTCATGCTCGACTCATGATGTGGGCAGTGGGTGGGGCTAGCGGAGGTGTAGGCAGTTGGCGGGGCCAGCCTCAGGAGGAGGGAGGGGGAGGCCACTCACTCTGAGGCCGGGACTTGTGGTTGAGTGGGTGTGGCTATTGAAAAGTGGGAGGGGCTGCCGGCACGCCATGTGGCCCGGTTGAGCCTCCCAGAAGTTTAGAAGCGTTACCACGTGTCCTTTGAGGTGGCAGAGCATTGTGGGAAACAAGTTGCAGTCAACCACGTGCAAGTTTCTGTGACAAAACAGTGCGCATATTTGACTCTTGGTCCCTGTGACCCAAAGCTGCTCACGAAGCTTCTGTTGCAGCCAGGCTGATGTCTTCCGAAGCATTACAACGACACTCATTTCTTGAACGCAAGTGGCTGCACAGCCTGCCATGAGGCCTTTTGTTCCTCTGAAGGGATGCACTACATGCAGTTGGTACAGCAGTCTATGGGTTCCCTTAAAAATAAAGGTTTCCAAACGTTTAAGGATGGTCAATATTGTTACCATTTGCTTTATTTCACCGAAGGTATGAGGACACTCATACATCAAAGCCACTGCTAGCCATGTGAGGTAGACTGCTAAAAGCCCCAGAGGTGAGTGAGCATGCTGACCTGTGCAGCATAGGAATCTTAATTTTTAGGGCAAACACTGTTGCCACTGTCTGTTGTAGTTCACTTAAACCCTGAAGTCACTTTGGAGTTTCGTGAAAGGCACAGAAAAGTAATCACTAAGCCATGGAGTGCTTTAATCAATAACATCAGAAATTCTCAGAAATGCTTTCCAGATGCAAAAAATATCCATACCTAAACCTGTGAAACCTGATCAATACACATGCAAGTTAACAAAATCAGAGCAATATTTAAATGCAGAAGGCTTAAAGTAGGTTCAGTTCTGCAGTATTTGGAATTCACCATTGGTTACCACGGCAATTAAAAACCAGCCAGAATTTAAAGTTTAAAAAAATACGCGAGAAAACAGCTCATCCCTAGTTACAGTATTCACAGAGGATATCGCCATGTGTAAGCTTTGCTCTGAACGCATTTACATCACGTATGGTGTGCGTGCGAAATGAAATTGCGGGATAGTCACCCGTGATGTTTCTGAAGGATTAAGTAGCCTCAACGATGGGGAAGTGGAATTCAAGCTGTCTCATGGCCACCAATGGACAATGAGCGCCACCCGATGCTTGCTTGAACAGGGAGACACTTTGCATCATGGGCATCCTTGCCCATGTTAATCTCAACCCCCCCCCCCCCCCCCTTGAGGAAACTCCGGTTCAGCAGGAAGCAAATCGGGTGTGACCAAATCCTCCCCCAAAGTGTCGCGCCCACTCGACCTTCTGAGCGGGGTTTGACATCGGCTGATAAATCCCCAGGCCCGAGTGTTGGACGCACATACGCGTGTACACACGTGCCTCGTCCCAAACATCTGACCTCGAGATTTCATCTGCCCATCTACCAGCATTGCACAGCGCAGCCACGTATTTCAATCCCGGAGTACGTTTGGTCACCCTGCCTCCAAACATGCACAGCAAAGTCAATCCTGCCCTGCTTCTAAATCTAAGCCAGCGATCTTAGCTGCTGCTCACAGAGAAGTACACACTTGGAAATGCATTACGCTTAGAGTTAATGTTGTGCTGGCCGCGTGGATACATTCTATACTTAAATGAAAGCATACCTTAAGACATTTACCACGCTGTATTAGTTATCTACTTATTGTAATGCAGCACTTTAATGAATTCCTATTGAAAGCACCTAATATATCAGCATCGGTGGAGAGACGAAACTAACTGGCAGTGTTCCCTGATCCTATAACATGTATTTAATATTACGTTTGAAAGTTTTTGAACTTGAAAAAAAACCCACAACTAAAAGGCCTCTTTGCAGGTCACCGTAAATCTTAAATAATGTTACAATGTTATCCTCTGAAACCGGACAACGAAATAACACAACGGCCGCTCCCATTCCTTAAGCCAAAGAATGTTTAGAGACAGACATTCAATGTTGCCTGCAATCCATTTAAGTTTCCCAAAAGGGTTTCTTGTATGCGATTTTGCAAATGATCCCCTGCTTATCACGTTCGGGGAACATCAATGTATTCAAAAAATAGTTTTGAAACGTTATTGTGATTTCTTTCATGATCATACATCATTAATACTACTTTTGTCATGTTTTTAGTTAATGATGTGAACTAAAATTGTCACAAAGTATGGTAAAATCTCACTCGAAAACCACCACTTTATTTAAGGAAGAATAATACACAGACCGCACACATTTTTAAAGTTACATGCGGAGAAAGTGACACATTCTTCCCTTTTAAAAGCCTTATCTCACTTACGTAGAAAAATGACAAAGGTCTGCATTTACCACGTGACAAACGTGAAGACAAACTACATTTCATGATCATTATAAAATCACACGCGTAAAGACGATGCTCAATCGTTTTGTTAAACGATCTCATGAAAAACATATTTATCTAAATAACTGCTGGCCAAAGGTTTGAAGAGCAAAATCGAAACTGAATCTATCATAGAAAAATAATCAAAAACTTTTTTCATCTTTTTGTTGTCACAGTTTGCTTAACACGGCCCAAAAGGCCCCAACATATAAAGCAGGCCGCCAGCAACAAACAGCACTGACTCCCGCGAGGGACAGCGGCACACGTGGCCGACAGTGCCAGACCGTCACGCACCGCACAACTCAAGTCCATCAATTCCGCTTAATATGTGGCAAATTATGTAAAAGAGCCGGCTCAGTTCTGTGTAAAAAAAAACCTCACAAAGCCGATGCAGAGCCTCGACTCTGCAGTCACATGGACTGCAGATGTGAAAATAAATGCTTTGTCTTGGGCCTTATTGCATTATATCAATGAGGGTGGTCAAGTATCTACTGCTCTGGCCAAAACCTGCTGATGTTATCTCTGAAGCTGTGCACACAGTGATGTGCAAAGAAAGCTAAATCAATTGTATTGCATTTTTCCAAGAGTTTAATAATTGTCGGATTATATACCGGTCAGGGCAATGTCAAATATCTTCCTGTTGAGACTGGATCATGCTGGGGGTGTGCTCATCTCTGTTGGTGGCCCTCAGTCAGTGGTAGAAATTCCATATTCCCATGATAGGGGCATAGTATTATTTTTGCAATCAGAACGTAATTGTATCTAACTGCTATGGAGAGTCTGACCCAACCACAGGAATGTAGAATTTGTATCAACGGCTCAAGGCTGCCAATTGCGACAAGTACCAAGCCATCGTTCATTTGGCTTTAGAAGTACGACAGGCACACGCACACAACATACTTCATCAACTGGAAACATTTATGACAAAGCTAAATATATAAAATCCATACACCAGAAGGTATACATTTTCATTTGCTGTCAACCCCCGCATTTTTTCAGATGCCCAAAAAAAACTGTCCATTTTAATTTTTGACACGAACGTGCGAAGCACAGACGCAGCGCGATGACAGCGGAGCATGTGGCTCTGTTGATGGATCCCACACGCAGCCAAGCGCAGGTTCCAGCAGCCACGTGGCAGGCGGTCTCACACACACGGCGGAACCAGCATGACAACCACTAAAAGGGAAACAGCCAAGTCCATGTGAAAGAACAATGTGGAAATTCAATGCTGATATTTTGTAGATAGTAAAATTCAGGTCGGACAAATTATAGATGTAATAATATGGTAAATTCTCAGGCAACAGCATTACAGACTTATGAGACCAGAGAAATGGGCCACTGGCTATCGCAGTGGCTCCCAACCTTTCGGGACCCGCGGATTGCTGTCGGAACACCGCCAGGTGAAACATATTGCGTCTTGTGAGAAAAAAAATCTAAGTAACTGCAACAGTTCTGCAGAACGCTTCCCCATGGGCCTTGCGGACAACCAATGGCCCACCAACCACAGGGCGGGAGCGGCTCCTCTAGAGTATTCATGTGAAGAGCACATTGTTCTGATGCACGTCAACGACAAGGTAGAGCGATAGGTGTGTTCACTGCCAACGTACTCCCCTGAGTGTTGTTGTTGTTGGGCATGCAGTCGATGCTGCTCAGAGCCCATTGTCATGGCAACAAGCACAGCCACACTCTTAAATAGCCCCAAATGTGGACGGATACCTTCGGTGCAATTCACTGACGTGGTTAACCCAAGAAACAATGCAGAGTGGTAGCGAGAGGTTGAGCCACTTTGCGATTTACTTGCAAGAGCGTAATAGGCCCGAATAAGTACGTTCCTCGCTGATGACGGTGCTCCCCTCAAGTGTGTGCGATGCCCGTCTCTCTCACACCAACACGAAACGTTCTCTCCTCGCATTTACTCACCACGCCATGCTGACAACATTTTGCATTTGCCACATCGCTTCATCACAAATGGTGGATGCGACCACCAAGATATCACACTGCAAAAACAGACTGGCTTCGTATTTCAAGTTCTGTTAACACAGAAAGAAAATTAACTTTAAATTAAACATTAAAATGTAAAGCTACCTTGGTTATTTTAAGCGCGCAGATGCCACTGTGGTCACAGCATGTGCCTCGTGTCATCGGAAGGCGACATGTTCAAACACTGGTTGGTGTCAACTCAGCTCATCATCCCTCCAGGGTTAATAAAACGCATACTATTATGTGCAAAGTCAACAGTGGTTTTACTATGAAGCGGCTGGCCCCCACTTGGGCTGTCACTTAACTGGGGTGTTTTGTCAGTGTAATCTTCACATGCTCAATGTGCATTTATTAAACCAGACCGTCAAATACATCCCCGAACTTGTCTTTAATACTCTACAGGATAAATTCCATATATTCATTGACGCATAGGAGCAACCCGCTTGCTACAAGGCAAACCACCCCACCAAGATAAGTGGTTGTGTTGACGCTGTGATGTAAAATAGCAATGTGACGCAATCCCCAGCACACTGCCAAATGAAGCCCCTGAACAAAAGCAGACGATTTCGCCCCCACCCTCTTCAATTCAATTCACTCGTAAAAGCTACATAAACAAACATCGCAGGTTTATAATAAGCAAACACAAAGAGCCTATCAATGGCTGACAAGAATGTGCTGCAGGCTGTTAATGGAGTGTCTGCCGAGGAGCAGCGGCCTCCCTTTGTCAACAGCCTTGTAAGTTTTGGCCCTCCCACCAACTGGGGAGAAAATCTCCTCGGTGCCGGAGAAACACAGAACAGGATCAGCGATCGGCGCGAAGGAGCCCATAAAACATCGACCCAGAGGCACGGGAGCGTGCCAAACCGTGTGAGTGACAGCGCCCTTATGAGAAGAGTGGCCCAACACAAAGTGGTGCCAAAGCCCAGCAACTGTTTCGTGTCAGCGCTGGGGCAACAGTATATTATTGCTCGCCGCACTCGGTAACACTAGCCCAAGTGTCTTGAGCTTTCTTCAGCAGCCTCTTCTAAGATTAGTTTCTTAAAGATAACAGCGAGAGAAAACACGTTTTAATGGTGCAATAAAATGAGATTTACGCTAATCAATCAACCGGTTAACCTGTGGCCACGGTGGGTCAGCTATCGACGTTCACAAAGCAGGACGGCGCTGCTCTCACCGACGCTCCACGGCTCACCGAGTGAAGTCAGAAGAGCAATTGTGGAGAATGTGTTTTCGAGTTAACGAGGTCTTCATAACCACCACACACGTCGGCGCGTGTTTATTTACATCTGTCAAATGTATGTGTTGGCAATTACCTGCTTCGCAGAGGAATACTTGGCTTTGCGGTGTAAGGTGAGCTCCGCTCTGGCAGAAACCGTAAGCCCGCCGTGTGCCTTTGTTTGACATCAGCGAGCAGCCAAGGGCCCGCAAAGGAAGACGCGATCCTGTTCAGCGACTGCGCCGACGCGTACGAAGCTGGACTCACGGCCAGCGGCGTTTACACCGTCAAAATCTCGGACAGCACCGAGGCCATGAAGGTGACTTTGACGCTCCGACCAAAACAACCAACCAAGCACACTGCACTGCAGTGCTGCACACCAGACCAAACAAGCTACGAAATAAAGCAAACTGAGTTATTCTACTCGCACTCTGTTTTTGCCATTGTAGAAATATCATTCATTTGACCCCAGACACCAAGGCTTTAAAATCTGACCCAGGTTTACAGTTATTAAAGTGTGCTGGAACCCTTTACGGCCGACACGCATGCCATAGCTGGTGCCTATCCAATTTAAGACGTTAATGTCACCCGTGGGACCGATGTACAAACATGCACAGAGGGACGCTGCAATTCAGGTCCTTTGAATCCGTTCCAAAATCATGAACACACGCACATCAACAATCTCGTTCTGGTGAATCTGATCCCGAACCACAGTTGACTAATGAATGGTCCTCCTCTAAGCAATGACAATTCAGGCAACAGGCAGCATCAACGCCAAAGATTTAATTTAACGTTGCTCGGCGCATGAAACCAAAATCAGTGGAAACAAAACCCGCACTTCCAAAGGGGAGCTCACCGGTATTCAGGTGAAGACAGTCACATGACCCGATCTGAATTCTATGCTTCTTCAAATACGATTGTTTACGGAACAGATGCGGCGCTATCATCTGCACGACAGACCTCACGTACACTTGTGTGGCTGACAGACGGCATCATCAGGGACGCAGACAGAAGTTCGCTCACCGCCAGATTTCCAACGCGCAGCACCCACAAACGTGTCGGGTAGAAGCACGGCGCCTGCAAAGGCACAGCTGTGCTAAGCAACTGTTTCAACAAAAGTGGCAGTAGTTGTATTCCATCTGTGGATTCCACGGTACGGGCAATGTGGAAAGAATCAAAAGTTAATATGAATCTGAAACCAATTAATTCAGACAACGTTTGAAGTTATTCCATTGTCATGTATACCGCCATTCCATTTTTTAAAGCATCGTGTTTAATCGCGTACAGCCCTCTCGTGATACAAACAAAAAACTGCTGGACAAAGGCCCCCATGCTGCGTCAGTCACGGCGGGTGTTTGACTGCTATCCTTCGAGAGTGGTGAGTGCGTGCTGGTGAAGACCTCCCTGGTACTGGTCCAAGTTTCACTCGCCACTGACGTTAGCCGTGAATGGGATCAATCCGAGGTCGTGGGTTTATCGCATAGTGCGCTAAACGCTGCAGGTACCACTCCCCGATTTGCTTCTTGTGAAGAAAAGCAAACTGTTGGCACTGCGAGTCGGGTGAGCCGCCACCCTCCGCGGCATGCCGAGCACGTGTGACGTCTTAACTTCTTGTAGATGACTAATCTTCCTTCCTTGGATTCCTGCCCACAGGTGTGTTGGGTTTGTAAGTCATTATCACTGGTGGCTCCCGACCAGGCAGCGGTAGGCATGCGGCAACCACTATTCTACAACCTAGATTTGAAACGTCGTGATTTAATTTATTTTGTTTTATATCTACGGGACTTTACCGAAAGAACCATTAAGTACACTATTCTACACTCCTACATAAAAAGCAAACTGAGCTTCCTCGTACACAAATGTGCATCTAATGTAAAGTTAATTACATGTGTTATGTTAGCCGACTCTCTGTGTTGTATTGGATTATGTTTCTAAGTTTACTAGGTTTGTTTTCTCTTTCATTTGTATCCGATGATGATTGCTTGTGTTGCAATCGAAACGTCGTATGCTTTTAATTTATTTTTCTTTCTACGTGACTTTACCGAAATAACCAAAGAGTACACGTGTTAATGTTAATTAATATGTTTTCAAATGAATAAAATAGTTTTCAAATTAATTAATATGAACACACTTAATCCATTAATACATTTGAACCTTATGGTGGAAGCCCGGGGTCCCATAAGCCCCCAGCTCTCGCATAAACTGCATTGCGACGTCATTTTATATCTGTTGAAGGCGAACAATACGGAAATCTATTCCTCTCGACGAGCTCTGCACGATGCGCTAATCAAAGTTTCAAAGTTTTGTTTCTTCTGCGCATTCGTCCTCACTGCGCTTGGACGACATGACAACACAATGATCCGCGCCAGGTGGGTCACGGCGTTTGTGTGCGCAGTGGGACGGAGTCGCCAAAAATAAATGAATTAATTAATATTTTGACTTCCGTTTATTCGGGACCCCGGGGTCCCGCCATAAGGTTCATTTAAAATGGGAAGTGTATTTTAATATGCAGAACGCTGTTTGCTGGACTGACTTGAAAGAAAATACAAACGACGAGAGGACATTTCGAGCACATATAGCACATGTTAACTTATGCATTCGTGAACACATGCATCTGTGGATCAACACAACACACACCGTGTGTGGTCATCTGCTGAGTGGGTGGTGCAAAGCATTTAAAATGGATCCGGGGATTGCTTTACCTCTTCGAGATTCACGCACTGCCCTTCGAACCAAACGGATTGGCAACGGATTGCCATCGGCTTCGTTGAAAGTTCATGCTTGAGCCATGGTAGCAGAAGGCTTTAGTGAACAGAATGTGTAACAATACAAATTTATGTCCTTTAATGATGCAGAAAAGCGTAAGAGTGTATTAAGATTATTTCCCAGCAGAGCACTGCATTGGGAAGTTTGGCCAATTCCTTATTTCAGGCGCGTTTTGCTTCGAGTGGGGAAAAAAACAGAGTGCACACGAGGGGATAACGCCTAATGATCCAGACAGACGGATGTACAGACCCACTTGCTGTACTGCCATCACATGGCAACGGTGCAGCCGGGCAGGAGTGAGAGTCGCATCGTGTGGTGCTTTCTCTCAATGACCCACCTACCCTGCCACCAACACACCGGGGCACCGCCATCTGCCACCACACCGGGCAAATCTGAACGAATCTGCTCCACAGCGTTCATGGGGCAGCGCACAGGAGCTACAGGGGAAATAGAGTTGGCCGTGCTGCAGCGACAGAGCGAGCGGCTCACAATCACAAGGTTTCGAATTCAGATCTGGTTGGGGGTTCACGCAGCCCATCATCAATCGGGGGCCAATAAAATAGATATCCACTTTGTGGAGAAGTCAACAGTGGTTGTTATAAAAAATATAGTTTCCCAAGTCAGAGAAATGTGGAAATGTCACCGCGGGATCAGGGCTGTAAACGGAAGATGAGCACCGTTTCAATGCAAGGATTACTTTGACTACAGCAGTTGTTAAATGTGTGACCGCCAGTCAGAGGAGAACTGATCAGGATATCCCTCCTTTAAAGGCTTTACCAGCATGAGGGCAGGAAGCGTTGTCTCGCCCCCCCCACCCCGCCCCCCACCCCACTCTTGCGTAGGCCTTGTGCTGCACTCAAAGCCAAACTTTATAAAAGGGGGGCGAGTTTGCCTTCAGGAGGTTAATTCTGCAGGCAGCCGCGTGTGTACATGTGTTACAGATCGAAGCGCGTCTGGAAAGCAAAGGCCTATTCGTGCGTCCGCGTTACAAAAACATGAGCCTTATACAAATAATAACAGATCTGGGGAGAAAATGCTGCCTTCCTACCTTCATAACATGCAGGGAAATATTCGATAAATAAACACCCAAGGGACTTTTTTAGCTGTATTGTGTGATCAGACATCGTGACGGGTTTATGGTTTATTTTGTTTAGTCAAGTCAGAACTCAACCAGAATCGTCATATGTGCAAGAATGACCTAGGTCCCTGAAATGACAAAACATAAAAATAGCACACTAAAGCAAATTAAATAAGACCCTGAATCGTGACAATTAATCCATTAATGGAGGAATTGCTACGTCAATCGTAGACATACAGCCATCTCGTATCACCACAACCCTTACAATATTTGCGCGGGTAAATGCTCGGAACAGTGAGACAAACCGGGGGAAACACGGCCCCTCTACTCGCCGATTCCTTGCCACTGAATCTCTAAAAGGATTAATCAGGACAGATGTGGTCTGCATTAGCTGTTGGCAGTACAGCAGAGAAATGAAAGCCCGAAATGATATCCTCGATATAATTTGCTACTTTGCAATTTTAAAATGATGACAGTATCAAATGTTGCCTGTTTAGTTTATTTAAATGTACAACGTGTATCACGACTCATTGTTGGCGACGTTATCATGCCTACGACTTGCATTCACGCTGACACTGGCGACGGTCGCGCCGATGGTGCGCGTGGTTCATTATAAACGGTGGAGCTTTCACACGGCCATATGGATTCGGTCTTACCCATTTCACTAGCTTATCAATCATTTTCCAAGCTATCTTAAAAACCACTGAGCGAGCCTTAGTCAACCCTCTGAAGCCCGCAAATACCTTGATCCATACCAACAGCTAGATTAATGGGAAGTCATTAAACATCACACAAGGTTACGTGCTTTGCTTTCCACAGAGGTTACTGGACGTGGCTGAAGATAGCGAGGGAACTTTGATAGTGAATATATTTCTCCATGATGCAAGCCAGATAGCACCAGAGTGGACACCCCTATTTAGAATTACGCCTGACAGTGACCAGAATAATCGAGAGTGGGAAGTTGGCTTTTGATATTTAAACACAATTTTTACTGCTAAGATAACCATGCACGCCGACTGTGTCTACATTAATTAAGAGTGCTGGAGACCAGGTCCATGGTGGAAGTATCATTCTTCATTAGTGCCAGGATCTCTCAGTGCAACTGCTTTACCACTTCCATTCCGGCAAGTTACTCAATAACAATAAATAACGATGATTGCCTTTTAACGTCTGAAAAGAGCACAACTTCTCACGCTTCACCACGCCGGTCAGTTTGGGTTGGTGAAGAGGGGACGGTGGGGGGGGGGGGTGTTCAGGACGAGTTCAGATGTCACTTGCCAATCACATCGTGCGTCGATCGGAACCAAACTCAGATAGGCAAGTTCGTATCGCACTGCGCTAACTACCCTGCCACCACTCATCCAGTCCGTACTATATATTCCACGTTAATATATACAAACTTAACGTAGTCTGTGTCTGAAGCCCAAGATGGAGATCATCATGGTTAATGCCGCTGGTGCCATCACAATTTCTCACTGCCTGACATTCAAGGGCCACTGCAATTATCCCACCACCCCAAGTCTTCCCTTAGTTGCTGCTTTGCTGCATCCTGCACGCGACACAAACCACACGCTCACTGGTGCTGCAGCAGCAGCAGCAGCAGTGTCCTGCCGACCTCCGCCCCATATCGCGACGGTTTTTCCCCTGTTTTGTTAGGCAGTTCCTAGCAGCTTCCACAGACATCCTATACATCCTCCACCAAGGATGGTGGCTTTGATTCTCCAGCTGCCCATACCTGTGATATTGCATTGCCCAAAGTGTCTGGTTCTTTGTTTCATTCATGTAACAATACAGATATAACTCCCAATGTAACACACTCTTCTTACAAAGAGGTTTATGGTTTATCAAACAACAACACCCTATCCTGCTGAAACAGTTCCTGCTTGGCCGACTGACTGAAGTAAACTGTGCTTTGCTGCCAGGTCTACTGCAACATGGAGTCACAAGGCGGCGGGTGGACCGTCATCCAGCACCGAGAAAACGGCGCCACAGACTTCCACCGCCCATGGCAGGAGTACAAGATGGTGAGGAGGTGCCCGTTATCTGTGGCCTGGGCCGCCCAGGGGTGGGAGCAAATTGTCCTGGGCCTACACAGAAGAGGGCTCCACAATGGGCATAATTTTTGTCGGTAATGAATAAGGGAACCCCATGTGGCATTCTGCCCCAGGCCTCCGGCCCAAGTCTCTTGGAAACTTCGTGCGTCCCTGTCTGTGGCCATGCACTATTAACGAGAGGCATCCCGCTGCGTGTGACTCGCGAGCTTCGACTACGTTGAGGACACTTCAAGTGTCCTCCGGGGCAGCGGCTGCAAATCTGCAGACCTGTATGTGTGTATGGATGTCTCGCACCTTGCATAGCAAAACGTTGTTTAGACTGTAAACTCAGCAATCAGCAGATGCAAGAAGTTCACAACACCACGAGTATGGACAGAAGCTTACAGCCAAAGTGGCTGTATACACGGCCTAATACCACGGTGGTACTGAGGTAGTGGTGGGAATTCCACATTCTTGCAGCGGGTGCCCCTCTCCATAAGCAATCTGTTCCAAATGTATTGTAGCATGCATGACAGTGAAACATTAATTCATGGCAACTATGAATGAATTGATCTCTATTAAATACACATTTCAGTAGAGGCCACGACTGGAGACTGCACCTCGGTGAGAAGCGTCGAATGGACATTGGTAGCCTCACCCATTTCTCCCTGGCCTCTTTTAATGCCAGTAAGGGCAATATAATGACAACATATACATTATTACACTGTTAGCAAACAAAATATGTACAAATTATAGCAGTTAAAGTACACATGAGGTAATAACTTAATAATGGTTACACGTAGGCACTTAGAGGCACGAGAGTGGGCAAAGTTAAATATTGTTTACGTGTGCGAGCAATGCCTGGGCCATCTGCATGTATTAGGCTGTGAGCATTTTAAGTCAAATTATATACCGTGCACTTTGCGATAATACAATCGTTGCCTCATGCCGTTACGCCCAAAGCAAAAGGACCTGTGATGAAGCCAAATATACTTGTCTGGGTGAACGGGTCATGATACATATGTAGAGGTGATCACATATACAGCGGCAATGTAAGATTACAGCACACAGTGTAAAGCCACAATATAACAACCATGACCAAATGCCAAAAACTCGGTCACCTTGAATGCTCCTGATTTCGTCAGACCTGAAGCTAAGCAAGGTTGAGCGTGGTTAATGAAGTGGTTAGGAGACTGAGTAGACACGGTAGGCTTTGGCCAAAAGGTCACCAGGAGATAGCAGTAGAGCAATAGATTCTTGAATCTATCCCTGTGGTGACGAGAGTATTGCCTTTTGTATTCCGGGTACGCCGGTGTCCTCCTAAACACATATTCATTGAATTGGTCAAACGTCTCAGTGTAGCCAAAACATAAATTTCCATGCCTAAAATAAGGGTATTTTCAACAATTAATTGTTTTATCTATTTGTCAATCCACTGCTGAGACAAAAATTCTCTATTCCTGATCTAACAGAGGGGTTGTTTGACCATACTTCACCATAAGGGTCAGTGCAAGCTGATGACGGGAACGAGGCTAATTTGGAAACCGCCCGTTACCAGTGTTAGCCATGGACATGGATAGATTCCAGCGCAGAAGACAAACTACTTAGCCACTGCTCTCGATATTTTTTTATTCTTATCTTCTATGCATGCATAGGACTAGGCCACAACCTGTCCACCGTGAACTCCTCGCGTGAATTGAGCAATAACAGAGTACAGAGCCTCATAAGTGATAAGACGCAACCCCAAGCCACCTGCTCCAAGCATCTGGGAAGTGGAAAGCCAAACAAATGTACCCGCATGCCAGACGTGCTTTTGATGTGATTTCCATTTTATTTCTTTCTCTTTATTCATGTCCACTTGAAGTCAAAATGTATTGCTTCGCAAACGGGCATCGGAGCATTGTTCATCTCTGTTGGTGGCCCTGAGCCAAGAGTGAAAATTCCACATTCCTATGATGGGAGTCAGTTCCTCCAGAGGGTGACCACTGTTGACACAACATGAGTGCTCATTCTATCAACTCTGGAGGAATGAAGGGCTGAGCGAGTCCCCAAACTTGGTTGGATCTCGGAGCCTTCTGAATGAATCGGGTGGTCTAACCACAACGCTATATGCCTGGGAATGTTGGCATTTCTCAAAAGGAAATGGTCATGTGCCATTCGAACGACCAGTGACCTCAGTAGGAACACTGTGTGACCTGCAGTAATTCCGCCGGAGGACACCGAATCTCCGGGAAACTAACTCGAGGCAGCCCGTCATGTACAATGAAAGTTAATTGAATCTGAAAAGCATCGAGCTTCCCTATTAATGAATGAAAATCCATACGGTTTTCAATCAAGAAAGATTAATCACACAGTTTCTTTTTTTCACTTACAAAAATGACACAGCAAAAATAAAGCAAGCTGACAACTAACAGAGTAAATTAAACAATGGATGATGAAAATCCACCATTGTTTTTCACAAACATTTTTTACTGATCACGTACATTCCCGTGAAATGTGTTCCATGTGCAATGCACAAGCAATTGGGCTCCGTTCCACAGTACAAAAACATACACTTTGTACCTCCGCTGTGACAAACGTTCTGGACAGGTTGATAAAACAGCACACAATGTAAACCAGAAACACATATCTGCTAATTGTCCCACTTTCATGTGTCCCTTATTTATGCCTCCCCAGGACTTTTTCATTATAATCACGAAAATATACAGCAATTTGTCAGCTATCAGTTCCGTCATTTATTAAGAACTTATGTGTAAACCCCATCAGAACGAGCTCTCGGAGGGATCGGTGGAAGTTTGTTTGTCTCACCCCTGTCCGGTTGGCGGGAGGGGAAGCAACGCTGGGAGAAAGGGAAAGGGGAAGGGGAAGGGGAAGGGGGGCATTCTGTGGGATCAGCAGAGAGGTGTCCTGGTATGTGCGGCGGCCATGATTGTTTCCACACAGGCTCACATTTGTTATGCTGGGCTACGATAACCTCGCACTTACAATCCATTACATCACATCGGGCTTAACGGACTGCAGATATTACGTGAACGCCAAGACAGCTGAGTGAAATAGCGTCGTCTTCAAGGTAGCCGAGATTTGACAATGATAATCTGCATTAAATTTTACAGCAGAAAACTAGCGCCACTTTTTGCCAGTGAATTTCAATATATGATAGTAATTGTTTTTAGACAAAAATTGCTTTTTGTGAAGCAAGTTTGATCACCAGTATTCCACGAGCCAAGCCAGGAACCGCTGATGGTGAGCGGTGTGTGAGAGCCCAGCTGAAGGGCTCCTTAATTTAACGCGAGTAGAGGAGATAAAACATTTGCAGATGTTGGAATTAATTGAAATATTTGGGCTGGCAATGCGTTTTAAACAGAGCCATAGCATAAGGTATGGAGGAAATAACGTCCAATAATAAACAGCAATAGATGAAAAAATATTCAGTTAAATTACGATGCACGCAACAAAATAATTCTCACGCGCTTGCCGGGGTACAGACACGTAGTGGACACGAGGTTCCTCGCTGCAACACTCTGGCAGGACAGCGCCAGCGAGAACGCTCTTGGCCAGAGGTCCATCAGTGGAAACTGCTCTGGTTTTCTGGGGCCCAGTTCATCTTTCTTCCGCAAGACTTACAAGCGTTTAAGCAGGTGCTGCATAATAGCTGTTTGCACAAGTGTTTAGTGGCCTCTCGCGCTGTCGCAGCATGTAGCCTGACCCCCGGAGCAGGCCTGGGTCGGTGCATTCACCTCCCCCAGAGGGCGCTTTCCGAGCTATACTTTTTCACGGTCGCCTTGCCAGTTCCCTCCACGTGCGCAACAGAGTAAAGACGTTGCGGTTTTACTTTTTTGCGTCTGGCGCGCAGGGCTTTGGCGACGTGGCGGCAGAGCACTGGATGGGCAACCAGCACGTGTATTACCTGTCGCACCAGCAGCACTTTGTGCTGAGGGTGGAGCTGCGCGACTGGGAGGGCAACGTCGCCTTCTCGCAGTACGAGCGCTTCTACATCAGCAGCGAGAAGCTCAACTACAGGTCGGTCAAAGGCGTCCAGGAGATTGCCGCTCAAGTGAGCATTGAGCCGTGGGTGCTCAACTCACGTTTACAGCCCCCCTGAGCCAGGGGTGGGAATTCATCATTTCTGTGGCGGGGGCCAGAGCAGCGAGAAGCTGATGGACAGGTCCGTGCAGGAGGACTGGCGGAAACAATCGCTGCAATTATAAACCGCTCACATGCGGCACACCAAATATCACGTACCGAACAAATATGAAAGAATAAGTGGAGAAGGTCTGTACGAGTCTGCCAGCTCATACGAACATGGGGCAACTTCTCAGTGGCCTTGCGCCAATGAGAAAACCCACGTGCGTGTGTGTGTGTGTGCGAAAGGGAAATACTCCATCCCATTCAGACGGAACAGGTGGAGTCCAAATTTTTGCTGTGACGCTTCCTCCTGGCGAGCCTGGGTATGACACCTTGACCCTCACGGGAAGGGAGTTTCATAACATTTGTTCGATCCACCAACCCTCGCTGCCTCCACAGTGCGAGATCACAGGCATGTATAGCCACCACCACCATCTGGCTAAATACCCAACTATCCACGTTGAGTCAACTGGTGAAACCATTCGTAGCAGAGTCTGTACTAGGCGGGACTGACAGTTTTGAGATGCAAGATTTATCAGACGGAACGCTACACATCGCTCTGTTCTTTTGCAATGTAAACTCGTACTTCCAAGACCGGAACAAAATAAACTTCCATTCTGCTATTCAAGTAGTCGATGAAAAGTTTAAAATATTTCATGTAACCTCTGTTTATTCAACACTCAGCCTAATGTAAATATTAAGGCTAAATATTAAGAACACCTTTCACAGGACCGTTGAAAGTAGGATAAGCCTTTGAAAATGAATTAACACGTGACGAGCGTTAGATTATTTTCCATTTTTCGGCAGCTGGACTCGAAGCGTGAAACGCATGACTGCACTTCGTCTGAGATCACATGACACCCCACACACGAGCGCACAGGCCATGCAAGTACACACCGTGTGGACGCCTAGCACGGCAAGCTACGTGCGATGTGAAAGAAGTTCAACATACATACACACATACGTTCCTGAAATGCCCTCCTACCTCGGTGCACGCGGCAGTACAAACATGTCCCTCACAGCGAGGTCGATGGGCAGGTCGAGTGTGGTGGAGCAAAGTGTGAGCGCTCCTACCTCTCCCAGGATGACTGCCAGCATGGAGGAGGATGCCAAATGCCCTCTGGAGCTCCCTCTGGCAGGGGCCCCTTCCGCCAGTAGTGGCGTGAGCAGGCCGTTGCAGGGCTCCACCTTCACCTCTTTACCTTCTACATACTCTGTACGTATACTGTACCGTATATGGTAAATACGATCTGTTTAGAAATGATAGATTAGTTACATAAAACACTATAGCCGTTGCAGCTAACGATAAATACAAAAAAAGAATGGTAATTTGAAGATTTGAAGAACACGTGCCGGAAGAATTCGGCGAGGCCTCTACCATTCAAGAGCAGCGCGCTTGACCCAATGCCCCGAGGAGCAGCTGTGATGTCCCCACGGCCGCTAAGAAAACACCGCGAACAGCGCCGCGGCCGCCAAAGCGGCGGTGTCAGCTCCCAAGCCGAGCAGCCCCCGTCCCTAATCACCGCCGCCAGCACAGGCGCAGACGCCGCCACAGCCGCCGGTGATTTCTGCACAGCTGGGATTCGGCGCGGTTTTATAAATCTGAAAGAATCTCAAATACGAAATGTAAGCTTAGCCAGGCACCTTCAAACCGAGCAAGCCTGCCAATCAAAGTCAGACGTATCTGAGGAACGCCTATGTATATATTTGGAGTTTGCATGTCTCTCTCCGCGTGGTCGCGTAGATTCTTTTCTCTAGGTCCTCCGATTTTTCCCTCCACATTTAGAAACATGCGTTGAGACTATTTTGCATATTTTGCTGCAAAAATGTCCAAATAACAAGCCAATTGTTGGGCTATCAGTTGTGGCCAGGTAGCTTTTGAAAAAAAATGAATACCTCAGTGGGCTTGTGTGGTAGGAAGGGGATGATTTCGTTGAATTTGTATGTGTTTGGGTGATTTGTTTACATTTCTTACACGTTGCACTCCTATCGTGTTTTGTGTTGTTGGTTGTTTGTTGTTGTTGTTGTTGTAACGTTCTTACCCCGTGCCCCGACTGGACATCTGTGAAAAAGAGCTTGATAGCTCATCGGATTCCTCCAATGTAAATAAATGTTCTGATTCTGAAATATGCATGCATGCGTACGTGTTCCATTGGCCACATGCTTAGAGTGTTTGTAGCTGGTGGCTAGATTTCCGTTCTCTTTATATACACACGCACACTCTGCTGAGACCCATACGTTGCTGTGAGAATGTTTGAGTGAGGCTGTTTTGTCTGATAATTACCATTCACTATCAATGTGGACAATTTGAACTCCTGCTATAACGATGGTTGGTTTCTCTCTGTGTCATTGATCTCTGGGTATTTTAACAGCCTACTCATTGATGTTGAGGCGTTATGGTCAGGGAATGTTGACCAGGAGGAAGGTAATGATAACGATGGGTGTTAAATGTGGGGGAGGGGGGGGCATGCAATGCATCAGAATGCTGTGCGAGTCTTTTGAGAATATACAAATTTTTCCCAAAAGCCCCCAATAACACGCTTCATTTTAAAAGATAGCTGACAGGTTTAATTATATCAATTCGATTCCTAACATAATTAAAAGTCCTGAGTGGTTCTTATTTCTGTTGGAGAAAGCTTTCATGGCAATTCAACATTGCATTGACAAAAAATATTTAAGAACAAATTTCTACATCATGAGGCCTCCTTTGCCAGTACCAAAGTATACTAATAATATACTAATAGGGGTATTTCCCTTTTTTCTGGCGACAGAAAAAAGGGAAATGAAGTACCTCATGATGTAGGTGCTTACCCCGAGTCCTCATTACTCTGATAGTGCGTTGTCTTTGAACTGTGCGCCTTTTGGCGTCATCTGATCGAACACCATATGAGACTAGGCTCTAAAGAAAGCTGTCTCTGGTGTGGACCAATCAGTTTCAAGGACAATGCATACATTATCAGTGTTGTTTTTTGTTTGCATTCTGATTGCAAGTATCGTGGTTAATGTAAACATTATTCCTTGCAAAAGGTTTTAGTTTTGCCACCCAAAAAAAAGGGGAAAACCCTATTATTAACAAATTTCGAATTTGAAATGATAAAGAATAACAATTAAAGATAGCTGCATGGCAGAAAAGAGAGATTAATCAGAGGTGCAGTTAAAATACCCTTCAACTTAACACCTTCAAAGCAAAAGGGTTTTAACTTTTACATGTTCCTAATTTTCCATATTTATGTAAACCATTAGAAGGATATGATTTAAACAGCACGTGTATATAATTATGTTTAACAGGTATTCTTACAACAAACCCGTAGGCATTTATATTTTGCTTATGCACGTGTCACATAATCCTTTTTTGGCTACAGCGATGCTTTTGCAGTCATTAATACTTGAGTAATTGTGTGATTGTTTTAGAGAACGTTTCAAGGTCTGGCATTGCATGAGAGCAATCTGGCTCCAGTTCAAGCTGCTACTCGTGTCAAAGTTGAGGTGTCTGTTTCCCAGGCATGACACAACCTCTGCCTTTCGGAGCAAAGAAACTTCCATAAAACCGAACGCAGTGCTACGCAAGCTGCCATTTGACAGGCAACCACAGTGACAACACTACAAGTGCGGCTGTTGGGATGAAATGCCTGTAACGAGGTTGTATTACTTAAAATAAAAGAGGGTAATTGTCCTCAGCTGTCCCACAAAGTAGTCGAGACCTGAACTATCAATTACCCTGGCCCCGTCATGGGAAGTGAGGCGCAAAAGCAGCCAGTGTGGGCAAACACAGTTACCCAATCTCCTGCACTGGCACTGTGATAGCAACGTGACTGCACTTCGGCTTTTGTAACAAAAACTTCAAATGATCTGCTTCCACATAAGTTTATCAGGTAACTATTGCAACTGAGACTATCCTGGTCTCTTGGGTTCTCACCTGGTTAAATAAAATAAACTATAAACTTATTTTCAAAGGCTGCCTTAAGCCAGTGTCATTCTTTTCACGATTGCCAGAACAAATTTTCAGTAATATGTCTTGATATTTCCTGGAGTAATGCAACGTTTTAAGATATATCTTGAGATAACTGTTTAGTTTAGATGTTATATAGCCAACCAGATGTTTTGTAAAGTAACAAAATTGTTAAGAAAAGAATGTCTATAATGATGACTCTGAACTATACACACACAGAGCACACAGTCGAACCAGCATACGCCAATAGAGAGAACATTCTGGATCTAACCCACACTGGCAAGTGAAGAGAGGCCCGTTGTTTACAGAGCTACGCCACGGCACGTTCTCTTTGACTGCGATTCAGGATCTACGTTAAAGGCTACACGGGCACAGCCGGCAAGTACAGCAGCTTTGCGCAGTCCGGCATCGACTTCAGCACCAAAGACATGGACAACGACAACTGCGCTTGCAAGTGTGCACAGATGGCAACAGGAGGTGAGATGTTCCAAGTACAGCCAACATCCAAACGTAGACTTCCCAGCTTGGACCGCTGCATTGAACACCTCCTATTATTCTTCTTCTCCTCTTCTCAAGATTTCACCACACACTACTCACTGCGGGCATATTGAGGGGTCGATGCCTGCGGTAGTAGTGCGCGGCGAAAGCTCGAGAGCGTAAATGCTCAACGAGTGGCCCGAACCAGAGCCACGAGCGGCTACGACAACTCACGCATCTTAAACTTCACCCAGCAGCACTCGCCGACAGGAAACGCGAGCGCCTCACAGTGCCCACCCTAACCAGTACCACACTCAGTGGTTAGGTGCGTGAGGCTAAAAGCAACTGCGGTAAAGAATGTTCCTCGCTTTTCCTCCCTCCAGTCACGCTAATGCTATCAACCACATCTATAACACCAAGCCACGATTAAAAAGAACACACTGCTCACTGCAATGAGAACATCCTCCTGGCTATACGCAGTGGCGGCACGTGGCTGCAGTTTTGTGGGACACTTCCCTGCAGGTTCCCCGGTTTCAGGTAACTCATGCGGGAGGAGAAATGGAATGGTTGGTATGTCACACCAAAGCATTCATTAAAGCAGACCGTAGGTGTGTTACAATTTTTTCCCTCTCATTCCCAACATTCAATGAATCGATTTGAATGATTATTTGGGTCTTTCGATAAAGTCACGTAGATATGTTCAAAGAAAATAACAAAAAACTACGCCGTTTCGATCGCAACGCCTATTTATAAATAGGTTGCCTTGAGAAGCTAACCCCCTTTTCCTGATGACAACCGCTTATGTTGCGATCGAAACGTCGTAGTTTTTTGTTATTTTCTTTGAACCTATCTACGTGACTTTTCCTGAAAGACCCAAAGAATATGAATTTCTGCAGTCACGAAAGCTTTAAATCAAGATTCGATCTGAATGAGTCATCTGCAATTGTAAAAACTGACGCAGCGTTTCGGCCCCATCAAGATTGAGCCACCAACTGGATTGAAGATAACTCCCCAGCTAAAAAACAAAGCACTTAGTCAAGGGGCACATTCTCTGTTCTTGTGCACGATTCTCTCTCCAGCGCAATACGGGAAACCCCGATGTAACGCGAGCAAACAAATTAACGTACGAGGATTAATGAAAGAAGAAGTCAAATTAATATAATTTGGTGATCACGCGCAGAGCAGTGCTACACGACCAGGGCCAGGTCCCAGGTATCCAGTGGCCGGACTCAGCCCCCAGCCCCTAGCCCCCAGACCCCAGCCCCCAGCCTTGCCCTGCCCTGTCCGTGGCTCGCATAGCAGCAGCAGCAGACAACAGTCAGACCCCACCCTCTCAACCCCAGCAGTTACGCGTGTGCAGTTGGACAGTCACAGAGACAAATACATGGAGACACTCAGAGACACATACACAGACCTGAAAACACACAGACACATGCATTTTATATTACGTGGGTAAGCAGCCTATAACATGGGCGTTATTCATGTCCCCCGAAGCTCGCGTTATAGTGGCCTTTTACTGCAACGACTTCCAACCACCAAGTGGTAACCATCAGGTGGTAGTCATTTTATTGACCCTAGAGGGATGATGGCCTTAGGCGACCCTGATGTATTTACACATGCACACTATATATATGCATTACGGACAGACGCACAAACTTACAGATACGCAGAGATGCCATTGACGTGATTTGTATATGTACCCTATACAGTGTAACAAATACATGCATCATCACGTTCGCCTCATTTGCGCGGAGTCTCAACTCTGCATGTGGCAATATCCTCCAGGCTGGTGGTTTGATGCATGTGGCCCCTCCAACCTCAACGGCATGTACTACACGGCCGGGCAGAACACCGGCAAGTTCAACGGCATCAAGTGGCATTACTGGAAGGGCTCGAGCTACTCTCTGCGATCCACCACCATGATGATCCGACCGGTGGACTTTGGAGTGTGACGTCCGCCAAAGGGACCCGATGAGACGCATTCCCTTCTGCTGGAACGCGGCAGCCGGGACGGAAGCCAGAGACGGACTTCCGGGCGGCGTCACCGCTCACGTTGGGAATGCCGAGAGCCACGAACTGCAAACCAAAACCTTCCACACCTCCCCCATATGCCGGCTAGCGTATGGCCCCGTGCCACTGAGGATTCTCAATGAGATGAAGGTGAAGCTGACGACAAAACGATTCACCTGGTGCTGTGCCGTGCAACATACACATTCATGTTTTGCGAACGCTTTGTTTCTGTACAGACCGCTGTGTTGTAATTACGTATTTTGCACCGCGTTTTACTCGAATAGAAAACGTCGCATACCCTCCTATTCTTATTATTTTATGTTTTAAATTAGTTTTTACAAAATTGATATTGTAACCATGAGTAGGAAGATGGGGTACGAGGCATCGATGCCACACAAGAGAAAAAAAACTACTTCGCTGACATGTTAATTGCTGATTTGAAGCTTTCGTAACTGCAGGAATCCATACTCTTTGGTTCTTTCGGTAAAGTCACGTAGGTAGAAAATTAATAGATCACGACGTTTCGATCGAAACCGAAAGAACCAAAGAGTATGTTCATTGCTATTCGTTTCCTTTACACGTTTTAACTTCCTTGTAGAGTAAAGTGTTGTTGACCAGCATCTAAGACTGACCCCGTGAGACAGCACGTTTCACTTTCCCCATCGCGCAGCCATACCTCGGATGTCCAAATGACTACAGTCATAGTTTGTATGAATATTCCCATACTGAACTATATATTTAAACATTGAGAAAACTCTTTATGAGCAAAACGATAAGAAAAATATAGCAAGAGCCAACAATCAGACACGAAGAGATATATGATACGCAGGATATTTTGAGAAAAAAAATCAAGATCCTTTGTGGGTTTCTAGCTGCAAAGTCAAAACATTGAGATCACTCCACTGCACACTTACTGGACATTTTAATATGGTGTTGTCGGAGTGCATTTAGCTATAAATTTTGCTAAACCGTAGTCTCATTATTTAATTGTGTTAAAAAGCAATTAAAACTCTCACACATGTACTTTGTTGTTGCTAAACTTTGTTGAATACTCCACAATGTGTTTTTATGATCGAAAAAAATGTTTAACGTTTTTTGTAAAATATGACAATAAAATAAAGCAGGGCCAATTTTGTAGCTTGTGCAGACCGGTCTTTGCTCTCTTAAATACATATTCCTTTAAATACTAATTTACTTAGGAATCAGAATCATTATTTCGACTGGAGGAATCTGATGAGCTATGAAGCTCTTTTTCACATATGTGCAGGAGGGGCTGTGTAGGAAACCGACACCAACTCCAAAGACTCTTTTTTTTATCGGAGTGTCCTGCATTGGGATGTTTGGCCAACACCAGTTACAGGGTTGTTTGCCTTTAGCTATGGGAGGAATCCAGAGAAGCCAGAGGAAACCATGCGACACAGGTGGAGAACATACAAACTCCAGAGAGAAAGGGGTCCGAATCAGCAAACGAACCCAGGTTCTTCTTGCAATGCGGTATGAGTGTGACCACTGCACTATCCGGCCATCAAAATCCAGTGTCAACACTTACCTGCGCAAGTTTAAACAATTCCTACAAAATGACTTTAAACCGTACCATGTGAAGAGTCCGAATAAGAAAGGGCTCTTGGCCTTGAGTTGTGCACGCAGATCCTGTTGTTATTCACGACCCCTTGAGGGGATTTCATAAATCACGCGGGGTATTACAATACACCTGAGCATTATATAACTGCTCAACATGGCAAAAGGAACTTAGTAAGTGAGTGTTCTCCTTCCTGTCCACTCGCATAAAACGCCAAGGTCCAGTCGCCCCTGGCCGCGTCCGTAAAATACTTCTTCGATAAACTCTCGCATCATCTTCCTTCACCGACATTTGCGTGGACATCACACAGCTGTAGGCCACAATGATTTACCCATTCCCTCTTTCACTGTAAAAGTAAGAAATTGGCATCTGATAACAGTCCAGTTATTACCGGTTGCACGGCTCGGGTTCAGAGATTTGCAAGCAACACATTCTCATGAATAACCCTGTCATAACATGAAAACGCGTGTCACTTACTTGAGCAGCAGGGAACGTGTCGGTCATCTCGTAAGGCTCCTCCTCAAGCCAATGTCCACACTCCGCTGACTCCAACACCTGGTGCAGAGCACAGCAGTGAAGAAAAGCTGACAAGACTGTGCAACACAACAAGTTCAGAAATGGTCATTCACAAGCACAACTTAAACCTCACCACCTACTCAAGCAATGCGGTCTCATCAAACAATGTACAGGAGGTTAACCGCTCAGGCAATGGCCATTTTCAGAGTTGTAAAAGCAGAGTTTGGTTTATTTTGGCAGAGGTAAAACTCCGAGATAATTTGACTGACATATAGTTTTGCACTTTAGAGTGTGGTGCCTCGATAACAATAGAATAGTTGAAGTTAACATACGAACAGTTTTAATGGACATATGAATGGTTAATGTGAACTCTATACTCTGCAAGAGCATTTACTGAAACACAGCCTGATTTACATTGAATGTTATAAGGCAATGTCAGTGCTGCAAATGGTGAGTATTTATTATGTGATCCTGACTTGACAGGCCATGCAAAGTTGATTTTCTAAAGGTTGAGCAAGTTACAAAACGCACAATAAAACAACTTGAGGTATACATCATGAGGTCATATTAATATCACAATCGTGTTTGTCTTGGACCACGACAATAAAGTTACAGTTGTATCATCTTGACTCAACATGTCAACACTTATGATCTTCAATGTGCTGCCCTTTCTCAATGCAAACACAGCTGCAGTTATCGAACTTGATCAAAAGATTAGGTGAGGCAGGCCACGCAGGACACTCAAGACAGAAATACTGCCAACTATGCAGTGAGAAGCTGAGCTGGGAACACAGGCTGGAGGACTACGTGAGAAATCCAGGCCCCAAGCCAAGGATTCAGGCCTAAGATAAAGGCTCGCGGGCAGACGGATTAAATGGGGTGATGCGATCCTCGCGGTCGCAGCGGGAAGGGGCCATGGATCCCGTGGCTCCGGACATTACGCAGGCCGCCTCACCCAAGCGAGCGAGAGCAGCCAGCAGCCACGCGCGATGCCGAGCAGCGCATTGAGCGTGCGGCGTGGTGATCCCAGCACCACGTGCGTGGTGCTCTCCTGCACGTCCTCGCCGAGCTCGAAACCACCCAGCTTCCTCACCACACGGTGCACCCTGCTCCGCTGCCTGCGCACACAGCCACGCCAGATCAGACACTCGACTCACAAAGAGAGGTGCCACCTGTTCTGGTTTTCCCAGGAAGTCGTCGTTTTGAGGCAGCTGTTGTCCTGGGAAATCTCTTAAGTCTTCCCAGGAAGTTAAAAGTCTCTGTTTTTGTCAGTTGCGTAATAAAAAAAATACTCCACTCACTCAAGACAAAGCATGGACATGCAGTTCCCCTCTATTACGGTATTGTAAGATATTCTTGTTGCCATGTCGCAGTTGTTGTCGCTCAGTTGGCAGCCCCACTCAGAATGTTAACTTTTAAGGAAATTGCTCGACTGTATTTAAACTCGTTTTTTAAGTATTAAATCATCCAGCATTTCAATAGTTGCACCACTTTATAATGATGATTGCAAAAGTACACTCACTCAGTGTGCAGGCTTGTCAACACCAATGATTGACTTTGCTAAAAGAAAAGACAAAAAAAGAAATGAATAAGGAAATAAATAAAAAAGTCGACATTTATTTGAAGTGACTTTCTGTGTACAACATTGTTAAAATATTAAACAACTTTCATCTAATTCTAGATTTGAAGCTTTCATTTAAACTGGAGTCGCCATAGAAACACGAGTCAGGAAGTTGGTGATATATAGATTTTTACACGTAAAATCTGGGCAAAATCAAGCAAACAACCCGTAGTTTAATCTTGCATAAGATATTTTACATAATCAGGACAAGGTAACATTTGATCCGTAAATAATGTCCCTGAGGTAACCGTGCGGTATTTGTGGCCGTGCGGTGCGCACTCGACGCTGCGTTGCGCTGGCCGTCCGCCTTCTCCCAGACACGGCGCTCTTCTTCTGAGGCGGCTGCCTCCTCAGGGCAACCGATCGTGGAAGACTCTGCCAAATACCACACACAGGAAACAAGACAAAATGTTCATCCAAAGCAAACGGATATACTAATTATTGTTTTTAAAAACAGCCACTCGAACACGTTTGCAGTCAATAAAACATTGAAAATAAGCAGACGTAAATTTGCATGTTAGATCTGTAAAACAATAAAATCAAACCGTGTAAGTACGAAGCCCTACTTAAAGCACAGATTGTGTCCGTTCAAAATATCTTTATTGAGCCGTTACCTTAAGTTTTAAAAAAATATAATGCAATTTGAATGCATAAAGCATCCATTCGTTACATTACCAATTTAATATTTATTTTTAAAATGTAAAAAGCGCAATAGACCATAAAGAGGTTTGAGCGCTGTACAGTGTAACAAAACAACTTTCAATAAATGTCACAGACACGTGCGTAAAGCAACACAAGGTTTGATATATATTAGTAATGAAGCATAATAACAGTACCTTCTTCAAAATGGCCAACACACATCATTGACACCGCCCTCTCATAACAAATCAAATTACCACATTTCTCCAAATTGAGTGAAGATAACTTGTGAAATAATAAAGTTCTAATTTCTTTCTAAACAGGAGAATCTCAAGGTCAGGCAGTGGTCCCTAATAATGAGGACAAAGGAGTGAACCAACTCGAACTCCACAGCGGTTTTGATCATCACGTGGCTGACAGAGAGACATTGGGTTTGAGGACCTTAAACTTGACAGGATTACTGTGAGGCTGCAGTTTCTCAGTCAAATAGTGAGGAAGTTGTGAATAAAACAGCAATTTAGACGGTGCACGGAGCTCAACTGGAACCGATGGAGATTCGGTGCAGTTTCGGAAAAACTGGGTCCCGATGGGATCGGCGGTCAAGCATCGCGCTGAGGCATTCTGAATGCCCGGTGGCAGTGGGACTGGACATGGCGGCACCCCCACACCCCAGATTACCATCGTGGAGGCAAGACGTTACCGGGGCTCTCAGAACGGGAGCACAATCTCCACCACAGATAAATGGTTTAGACCGTTTTGATGGTCCATAGGTGCAACAGACAGGTTTTTAGTGCTTGTTTTATCCAGGGATAAAAATACAGGGCATTGTCTAACACAAGCCCAGACTTGTAGTTCTATTGACAAGTAGAGGAGAAGTTTGATCAACAGATAAAAACGATTTCATACGCCTCAGGTCACCAAGTCTATACTCCAGCCCAACCAGCAGGTATTCTATTTAATGTGGGTTCAGTTTCAACCAATTGCCAGACATTCAGCTGCTCATCCCGAATTCCAAGGTAAAGCCGAGTGTAATCTGTGTACTGGTGAAAAGTTGTCCCAGTGGCTGAATAGAAATGTTAAATAGCAGGGGAGATAATACAGAACCTGCGGGACTCTGTTGGCAACTGGCCAGGCTGAAGAGGAATTGGGACCCATTGATATTTTTTGGGAGCAATCAGAAAGAAACGCCCTCATCCAGTCGAGTGCAGTCCCAGATTCCCATGGTTTGTGAGAGTTTAGATGGCCACATGAAAGCATGGCTTTTCACACTCTGCAAAGGTTTGGCATAATGCTTCGTGATGTGATGCCAGTTTGTGTGGATATGGTTGATGGTAGAAACACCTTACCTAAATCCTGCTTGCTCATGTGGTTGTCTGGCCTCTACATGTTCTATTTAACTACAAGACACCTCTTGGAGGGAGACAACTGTAACAGTAACCAGGGTATGTATACCAAGAGCATGTTACTGAAGGCAGACTGGCTGCAACATGAAATATAAAGGGTGGCAGCAGGCTGCAGTGATGTTGTAGAGGAGACTAGCGCCTGAGTAACAGCCAACGGAGGAGAGACGAGCCCCCGAGAGGGCATCCATCGTGGAGATGGAGCAATGACGACGGCTCGTGCACACGAGCGGCGAGGTGAGCTGTACCACTCAGAGACCGTGAGAGATGGCAACAGTTTGACGAGGCCATCATCCAGCAGCAGATCAATCATGGGTGGTGATGATGGTATTGATGATGAAATCATTCATAGGAGCAGCATTCTCCTTTGAGTCAGCCCAGCACCTTGCATTTGATATCTAAGCTGAAGTCATATCAGTGGCCTTCGACTGTACATGCAGCGTATATTCACCACATCCCCAAGGTTTCGATTTAAAGCTTTCGTGACTGCAGGGATTCATCTTCTTGTTTCTTTCGGTAAAGTCACGTAGAAGGGAAGTAATAAAATAATAAAAATAAAACATAATAAAACAATTCTCACGACGTTTCGGCTACAACGCAAGCAGCCGTCTTCAGGTGAAGAATGAGACACTACCAAACTAGGAGCTTATATATAAGCTGCATTGGGGGTTGAAGAGCGCCTTAACAAAAAGAATGTGCATGTGAAGAGGGATTTAGCATATTCATGGAAAATGCGTAGGCGTTGGGCGGGGGGGTGTCAAAGTCATATTATGCCCATGCATTATGCAGGATCAGCAGCAACCAAGGGGGGTGCAGGGATTAGCAGTAACAAAGGAAAGGAATGTTAATGATATGTAGCTGCAGTTACTCAACAACCACGTAGAAAACTAAAGTATAAACTACATAAAAAACTAAAGTATAAACTGCATCGCACCATCAGTATACTTACTATACTCTATAATAAGCTGAGTAACTAACAGCAAGTAATACATTACAATTTTACCTCGTAAAAATTCTATAATATGCTTCCATCTAAACCTTATTCTCTTACATCACACGAGCATATACCGTACTATATACTGCCATAGATAAACCCAACATTAAATTATATACTGTATTGCTGTAAACCAACCTATATCTTATACATTTAATATCACACTATGTATTATTCTACACACCCTAATGTGTATCGAAATGGTTTATTACGTCCTTCCAATGATTGCTGAGCCAGAATCCATCTTCTCGGTTAAAGTTGTCTCTGTGTTTGTATATGTGGATCGCCTCATGAACGAATCTCTCATGATAGCCAGATGGCTTGCAGAGAACCTCTGTCTTGGAGAAGTCAATATCATGTGAGCCCACTGAGTTGTAACAGTGATCTGCCACGGCTGAGGTGTTAGTCCTACCGTGTTTCAGGTCAGCTTTATGTTCACGGATGCGGTCCGAGACATGTCGTTTGGTTTCCCCAATGTAACTGCTACCACAGAGGCAACTTAGTTTGTAGACGCCAGGGTACTGTATGTCTGGAACCACATCTTTTACAGACGGTACCAGATCACGGATTTTATGTACTGTGTTGAATCGGACCTGGATCTTGTGTTTAATCAGGATTTTGGAGATCTTTTTTGTGACCCCAGCAATGTAGGGTAAGGTGATGGTCTTGAAAGGCTCCTCAACAGGATCCTTCTTGATGGTTGGAGTGATGGCTTTGCGGATTGTATAGTCGGAGTAACCATTTGCCTTAAGAGCTTGGCGTACGTGTTTGAGTTCACTGGAAATGTGTTCATGGTCGGAGATGCATTGGGCTCTATGATATAGAGTCTTGATGAGGGAATTCTTCTGAGATGGATGGTGGTGGGAATCCGGTTTTAGATAAGCATCCGTGTGGGTGGCTTTCCTGTAGACAGAGTGGCTCATTGAACCATCAAGTCTCCTTTTGATTAGGACATCCAAAAAGGGTAGCTTGCCATCATTTTCGACTTCCATGGTGAATCTGATGGCTGGGTGTATGGAATTGATGTGGTCGAGAAATTGGTCTAGAGCAGGCCTTCTACGTGACTTTACCGAAAGAAACAAGAAGATGAATCCCCAAGGTTGCTCATGACTCTTGAATTACTGTCTTAACAAGAGTGTATACACTTCTCGAAAGTCGTGAAATATTGGATACAATTTCCGCTAAAAAAAGTTTCTACGGAAGTATAACTGACATTTTAGATTGTGAGAAACGAAATCAGTTGACCAGTCCTATTAATAAAGAAACATTTTACACAGCAACAGTACGATTACCTTTCTACGTTCGCAGTTTGTTTTCAAGCAACTAAAAAAAGAAAAACTTCAAGTGTGCCATGGAAATAACTTGCAAGGCTTTATATTACACTGCGATAAACACGTATATTGTAATCAATAATTATAGCAAGAGGATGTTCGCTGCTTGCCTATTATAATTTGTACATTTTCCTTTTCAGGGCAGTGTCATTTGATGAACGTGTTGGGTTTTGCATTCACCAAACGAACTTTTGGCATTGCCTTTTAACAGCGCTGCTGTTCGCACCGTTGCCTGCGTTCAGTTCAGCAACACGATGGCCACATTTCTCAGCATGTTGTCTCCTTTACGAAGCCCTCTCACAGCTGTATTTTCTATTATTGAACTATCTGGAATTTTTCCATTCGTATTTACATGTCGATCCGGAGCTTGCAAAGTATTCAACGAGTCTGTGCCAATGAAACTCAAGTGAAGCTCTGACTGAACGTGTAGGAATGGGAAATAAAGTATTACAACTCGCCTTAGCGCTATCTTTAGATTGCAATAATACAATGTCTTTAAGAAAATGCTACTGTTTAACTTTTATAACGAAAAAGGTTTAACGCTATTTACCCTAGTTGTGTTGTGTAACTATGAATTTGTAAACTATGAAAGCGTGCACTCTGTAAACTCGCACTAAAGATCGCACAATCCTTAGCAGAGTTAGTATTTGATCATGTCCTTACTCACACCGCTGATCGTCAAGGCAATGCTTGCAAACCTACAGCAGTGATGAAATCACCTCCTAAACGCACGCATAATAAGCGTCCATAACGACCAACGTTGATCCAATGTTCACCATTACTCAGGGCTCCCACATAGATGTTTTTACTCAAAATTGAACCAAGCTTAACACAAAAAAAGAAGCGACAATTCCCCTGCTGTGTAAACATTTTTCTTTGTGTTGGCAAGTGCTACGCAATTCCTTCAAGTCTCTCCCCTCATAAAACTAAATAACGTGTAGTGTACACAGCTGGCTCCAAGGCTTCCTCCACCATGCACAACAACATACAGATGTTCTGCTTGCAAACCGAAAAATCAACTCGCTCACAACTATCGTGTTGTTGTTTTTTTCCCTCGTGGAAGATTATACCTTAATTTAATGTCACTATACAAATACGTTCTTTATATACTCATGTTTTAAACAATAACAGAAAACAAAGGTACATTTATGGATACAGTTATCTTTTGGGAAATGTCTTTCAGGCAGTTGTAATTATATGCACTTGAGAATTAGCAGCGGCCATGGTCAATCCATTGCTGGATGAAGGCACCCCCTCAAGCTGCAGACATCTCTCACGCTCCTGCGATGCAATAATCCAGCCAGCACATCTAAAGGAGCCGATTTCATCGCTCCATCTCGTTGGAGATTCTCCTCTTGGACACGTTCCATTCCATCAATATTCATTGTCCCTTTTCACGATGTGTCCTGCCCAAGCCCACTTACTTTTCCGAACAGTTTCAAAGATGACATTAACCGTCATATACTCCACGTGAACCGCCGTATTAAAACCCTAACTATACATATGGTAGACGTGTTATATTTTGAATTCAAGGTGACAAAGAAAAGGTTATCATCATATTGTCTGCGTTGTAGCACTGTTAGAGCATGAGCAAATCTAAGTGGTAAAATTATAATTTTCAAACCTTATAGAAGATGTGTCCAAAGAGTGAATTCTTAGTGAAATGTATCTTAGGATATATATTAAAAAAACATTTAAACTTTCTGGAGCAATAAAACATCTTTAATGTAAACTTCAAACAATTTAAAAACACAAGTTTTTTGGATCATTAAAAACTCTTCAATTGAATATTTTAATACTAGAAAAAAAATTACATGCATTAAAACACCTCTTCCGGCACATTTGTATGTTTTTACATTTCATCTAAAATATCTGAAGTAATTTTTTAAAGTTTGTCAATGCATGAGCGTACATTACGTAGGCAACACATTCATGCCCCCGGCGATGCAATACTCTCGTTACGATGCTGGGTCGCAATTCTAATTGTCATGTTTGTATCATCTCATTTATATTCTTGGGTCTTTCGGTAAAGTCACGTAGATAGGTTCAAAGAAAATAACAAAAAATAACAAAAAACGCCGACGTTTCGATCGCAACACAAGCGGTCGTCTTCCTTTTAATGATGACGAGCGCTTGTGTTACGATCGAAACGTCGTCGTTTCTTGTTATTTTCTTTGAACCTATCTACGTGACTTTACCGAAAGACCCAAGAATACGAATTCCTGCAGTCACGAAAGCTTCAAGTCAAGACCATCTAATTTATATTGTCATTTAATTTCATTTCTGTCTCAATTGTGTTATTTACTCCAATATCCTACATATAATAACATCATATTATTGGGACATAAATTGAATAAATAATCAATTATCACACAAACATGATTCACTCCTTGTACCATGAGTATAATAATTGATAGTGAATTCAACATTGGTTGCCGCGTGTTACATCTGGGCCCATCCTTTTTTTGCACACGTCTTCATCACTCTTTCTAACCACATCTGATGGATTAGGCAGACGAGCAATGCACGACGCCATTCCGCAGTAGCCAGGCACAAAGTGCATCAATAGCTAAAGGCGCTTGGCTACACAAACAGCTTTTGGTTAATACCTTCACCAAGGCCACAAAAAACACAAACTAACTTAATAGTTAGGATTTTTAATACAGCAAAATGCGATTAGAATATCCTATATGCAGATTATGTTAGTGAAGGTGTTACACATGGCGGTTTGCCATGCAGGAGTACAACTATAATGGCCATTGATTACACTTGCTCCATGTGACATTTCTCTAGGAATGTTGAGGTTCATTTTGCCGGTACATTTCTTGAAGTTCGCAAAGCTACAGCAGATGACTTCTGACAACCAGGTGGAAAGTGGTGTGACTCATTCAATCATAATCTTCTCCCTACAAAAGGAGTTTGAAGAAAATTAGAAAGGGAGTTGTGCATTTTGTCTGACTAGATTAATAATGAACTAAAGTTAATTCAAAATTACAAGTATTTGCAGCTCATATTTCCAATCTTGCTTTGGTAGGAACCTGTCATTTTCTATTACTCATGTCAGCATACCTCCAACCAATAGGGCTCATTACAAATATGTATAGATTCTATCACATGAAAGCATATCCTTTTTTTACTTTATGCTGCCAAAGAAAGTAAATCTTGACTGGTATAGCAATGCAACCACATTCTAGATGTATTGGATTTTTGCATGCCTGGGTGTTAAACCTGTCCCAATAAGTCTAGAATACGCATGAGAAAATCTAACTTCACAGCCTTTGTTGGCAAAAGATAAAATTACAATGGTAATTTACAGCCATTCTCAATTTACATATACTTTCCCGGCAGCACAGATGTTAAACATGTTCTAAAAATGTGTTTTTAGTCATTGACCAACCTGCTTTCCATCTTTCTTTGGCTTTTTAGATTCTTCCATTGGCACCATGAGTTTCAGCCTCCCAGACCTTCTGGGACCTTTCTGGGCCCTCTCTGCACCACTCGATGGGTTTTCTGCAATAAAACAACAATTTCCACATTTGTTAACCTGAAAAATGATGGATTGCAACTAAACAAGGTTATGTCATTGCTATTTAAACAAGGTATTTTAAAAGTTAGTGATGCATCGCCTCAATGACCATCGCCAGCAATCAACTTTCGTTTCTAGCCCTGAGTTATTGGGAGAAATTCCACATTGCTTTGGTGATAGCAAGTTTCAATTCATAAAAGATGGGTTTGAAACACAAAGTAACCCACAATTATTGATATACGAAAAAACAGATTCCACAATTTACGCATTGGGTGGTCACGTAGGACTGGTGTGCACATATCGAAAAATGTAAAGTATTACGACTTCGAGATTAACATTCTCATTATTTTTAATGTGTTTGCTTTGTTTAAAATGTGCATATTCTCTCATTTGTGTTTGTATCTAATGATCTATGCAGGCAGGCGAACCATGGTGGCTCACTGTGCCAAGTGGTCAATGTTGAGTCACTCAGGTGCTCCCTACATTTGTATCTCAATTTATAAACTCTTACTGGACATGCAGAGAACACATGCAAGTGTATATGATGCTCTCTGTGTAATGCATTGTATAACCACTGCAAACTTTCCATAGAGATTCTCAGTATAGTGACCCATGATAAACGATGGGCTTAGTCACACCCATATTTTATAGATATGGTCCACAACATATGCCAGTAAACATTTAACTGTTACCAATGGATGTGAACATCTTGTTAAATTACAGTATATCACTGGCTTATCAGTGGTTGTCTGAAGTTTGCTAAATATTATAAATCATTATGCAATTCACTGATGTATGTGAAGTGACTGCCCATTTTACTTCAGTAAACATTAAGCAGGCATGCCTAAAGGCCTCACCACTCAGTTTGCAAACAGAAGTCATTAACAACTATTTGCCGAAATGTATATCAAAATTAACAGATATACGTTGGAACTGGAATAAAGCTTGTATGGATTATAAGCAATTCAACATATTACTCTAGCAACATTGAATGTGCAGTCTTTTGAAAATACAAGCACAAAAGAGCATTGTTTTAATGTTTGCAGCTCTTAACATTGTTTTTAAGTTGATAAAAACAGGCTCGTATTAATATCCAAATCATTAATACACTTAATAATGGATGTTTAACATCTGCTAAAACAATGAAGAGGCAGTGTTTTATATTACAAATGTGGTGTTTTGCCTTAGCAAAGTGTAAGATACCTTGGTGCCTTGAGAAAATGGGATGTTCCTTCTGCACAGAAACTTGTCGGGATGTCACTTCAACAATGTCTGGAAAACTGGGAAGATTTATGTTTATTGTTGGACTTTCCTTTCCCGACTCGGGGTTCTGTGCCAGACGGTCATTGCCGGACGCATCGTATCCACACAAGTCTGAGACCGTGCTGTCTGTATCGGTATCTTTTTTCTCCTGTTCAACAGGTGGCCTTGGACTTTCCCGTCGTACCACATGGGTTCTGTAGGTCACTTCAGCTAAGTATCCTTCCTGCTTCACAGAATAAAGCCTAAACTTCTTAACATCTTTGTTATTTGTGATACTATGAGTGGCAGTCGTTTCACCAACAATCTCAGGCCCACACGTTGTTTTTGTTTGGGGCTTCATTTGAGGCTCTTCGTCAATTCTCTGTTGCTGTGGGTTACTGGAAGTTCTTGTTGGGCCATCTAATGAAACGATGCTACCGCCTGTGATTTTCGATCCATCTTGGCTCTCTCGTCGACTATTTGTATTAGTTTTTGGTGTGCCAAACAAGGCAGAGACCCTTTTAATAACGTCTTGATTCCTTGGCGCCAGCTCTTGAACATTTTCTGGCAAGAAGTAATCGTCGAATGGTGAGATACAGTCTAAAATTATGCCAGAACTCAGAGATTCTGGCACTTGCTGTAACTTTTGCTTCTTCCTCGACCTTGCGGACCCTGGTGTCCTGGTATAATCAGCGTGTGGCCTCTTCCTACTTGTTTCAAACACTGCAGAAGTTGCTGCCGATTGTTCAGAATGGAAACCCGTTCCGCCAGCCAAATTAGAATGAACTATTGGTGCCAGATCACTTTCTACCATGATATCTTCTTCATGTGCAGCAACATTTTCTCCAATAAGACGAGTCGCCTTGTGTCTCTCAGAAGTGGCTGTTTCCATACGCACTTCACCGGTAACCAGGATGTCATCAGAAGAGTTATGTCCACCACAGGTATATTTGTCCAGGGAATTGGAACTTGTCTTGCTAACAGTGTCTGTCAGTGACCCTATGTTGGTGGAGGAGCTCTGCGTCTCCGTATCAGTACATAAAGGCACTGGGAGAACATCAGCGAGATCAAAGGAACTGAGCTCTGAAGAATTTTTACAATTCCCTGTCGAAGTTTGATGCTGGCAACCCTCTCCCCTGTTTTGATGAGACATGACAATATTGTCCAAGCGTTTTCTTCTCGATTTTCGAGGATGTCTATGACTGCTATTTGATTCAGTAGCATTTGAGCTTCCAAGAGGTGACACGTTTGGTGTCTCTTGCACTACAGCGTGCGAGAAGGAAGAATCCTTTTCGGAGGTGGAACGTTGTTTTGATTTCATGCGACTGTTATCCAGGGAGACATCAGAGTCTGCTACGAAACTGTCACAAGGCCTCGGTGTTGACAATTCCTCCTCTTCTGGTCCGGACTCTTCTCCTGAGCGAAGAACAAAACTCCCCTTTAGGATGATTGCATCGACATGTAATTGACGATCACGACGATTGGTTTCATAATTACTACATTCTGTTTAGTTTTATAACATTTCACCAAATGAAGATATACATTTACGTGCACTAGTTATGCAAAACATGTGTATTTGAGAGTACATACTAAATAAAGATATAGTTGTGTATTTAATTAGGTAAAAACACATTGAGATACACCTCTTTATTTAAAAAACTAGAAAACATATTTTAAACAGGACTTAATATGTTACTGTACCTTAGGTTTGCCATTTAAACAGATAGGCAATCGAAACATACGTTTGTATTCAACAATCACAACCATATTTTGATTGCATATTTATTGGTAAAATGCATATTTTTGCATAACGATGAACAGTAATTCTCCACGATATACTGCAAGACCCTACATTGAACAAAGCACCACATGCTCACTCGGGGTGCACTGATTACCAGAGGCATATTTTAGTTCGGCCAAATTCTGGCCTTTTTTGACTCGGCATTTGACAAACTGTCCAGAGTAAAGAGCTTGGAAGCAGGGCAATTTATGTAATACTTGTGCATGTGAAATAATGAAATCAGCAGGTATAAGTGCACAAACGTATATTTTGCAAGCACTTTGGGGCGCTGCATGGTAATGCTGTGCAAGTTCCCACATGTGTTGTGCTTTCTCTTTGTCGAAGCAATTTCCCAATACCTTTCTCCTGCCAGCTCACTGTCATATATCTCATCCGAGTACATCTCTCACCATGTATTATTATCCCTCTTCTATGTCATCTAAATGCAGCTATTTAATACCTCTCATCTCACTATATGTCTCATATCTATTATCCAATCTCACATGATATCTGTCTCTTGCCTACATCTCTCTTATAGGTTACATTGTGTATCTCTCTCGCAGTGTCACAATTTCTCTCATATCACTGCCGCTTCCATCTGTTGTGTCTTTATGATTGTCTTCTATCTCGAATCAGTCTTCTCTCTCATCTCACTAATTAAATCTCTCATACAAAACACATTTTACTATTGACATCCATCTCCAGCCAAATAGCTAATTATTAATAACAATTTATATATAAACTCAACAGACATGTCCAGAGCACAAAACTAATAGGAAAAATAATGAGGTGCCATTTTGGGCAATGGGTCCTTCTTCACCACGCGTAGATAGGCCAATTTATGAAGTGCAATTCACAAATTGCCGCCTATTGCATATATTTATTTTAAGGCGGCAGTGTTATTGATGAATGCGTTGAGTTTTCTGTGATGTCCTTATTCACCACTCCCAACACAGTATCACCAAAGATTTGTTTAAAATAAAAATAGCACAATTCTGAAACTTACCCAAAAGAATGTTAAATAAAGAGCAGGAAGCGACATTTGATGAGCACTGTAGTGGAGAGGCAGAGCCATCAGGTGATTGGCTCTGGCTCACCATCTGGGAAGCTTCAAGAAATGAACAGAAAACAGATTTGTCAATCAGAATACTCATGCAGTGACAAGGAACAACTCATCACATAAATATATGTTATTAAACAAATATTACACAAAGTGAACTATTCTGTATGTATATTTGAATTTGCCTAAACATCAATGTGATACGTCCAGTTGAACACAGTTTAACGTATTACACAAAAGGAACAACATTTATTTAGCAGAATTGGTAGCTTTATAATTATTAAAGTTTTTACAGATTTTAAAGAATCATTACATACATACTCAACTTAAAAAAGGACAATATCACAATGCAAACACTCCAGCTGACTGATGCCCTTAACGTTAAAACCTCGTACCCACTTTCCCAGATATGCAGACTAATGTACCAGTCAAGGAGATATTCTCACGCCGCGCCTTCATCTCCTGCAGCATGTCTGCCATAGACTTGACCCTGTCCAGGACTGGTGAGCGAGTCACCCTGGGGCTGAACACTGGCTGGCCCTCATCATCAAACGCCAAGATGAGGCAATCGGGGCCTGTCAATGGCAATGCAGACACCAGTTCTCGCTCTTCAGCTTACGACGGGGTAAGTCATTGCCGTTACATATTTACAGTACTTAAATCACGTTACATCGTGTCATGAAGATTTATAACGGACTTGAAAAGTTAAATGCACTTGTATGGTTTGTTTTCACAGTAAAACACTCATATCTAAAGCATTTACTATGATGAACAAAAATGTAATCAAATTATATGTTTAATTGCATGCATAATAAGTCCTATTTATAACGTGCATAAAATGTGTGGAGCGAGTTGCGACATGCCAAATGATCTGGGGTATGTTATCAAAGCCTTAAACGCCATGCATAGTTTATCCTACGAGCAATTAAAAGATCCCATAACTATATTTAAACACTTTAAATTAAGAACGTCATTTTTCACCAATATAATGCTGAAGTCCATGTAAATATGAATGAAAAAACACATGGATGCATTTAAAAAGATAACATGTGAAGTTTACTTTTTTCTAGAGCATTAAAGTAAATCCTGTAACCATTGTGTAGTATTACCATACAAGTTGGAAGCTCCATATTGTTTTGGTTAAAAAATTAATTCTTAAACCATAGCAACCTTTAAGAAACATTAACACAACCGAATTTGGCATAATATAAAATTTGGCAACTGCTGTAGAATCCAGCCAGAGTAAAGCTGGTAATTAATTTAAAAGTGTGATCTGCATGAAATTTACTCTTCTAAACTCTTACCGAGCTAAACAACAGTATGCAAGTGGTTGCTCTACTGAAATAGTGGCCCTCACCATAGGAACGTGAAATATATACCAATGGCCTTCAACCCACAAATGAAGATAGAGATTCAGCTACTAAAACAAACCGGGTTGGAAAGGTGACGCCGTGGTTAGCACATTGCACTATGAATCTGGCGACCTGAGATTTATTCGCAGTCAAGGATAACATTAGTGGCAAGTGATTGCACTGGTCCTGGGTCCCCCTCCCTTCACCAGCCCTACTGAAACATATGGTGAGGTATGGCCAAACAAATCCCATGACCAACACCGTTTAAATGTGTAGTGACATGGAATGGGTCACTACGGCATGTAGCGCTGGCTGCTGGCACGAAGGGGCTCGGCTGCCATAGCAACCCTGTCGGCCAGCAGGTGAGGGGGTAGGCGGGAGGAAGAGATGTGGGGAGAAGGTGACGGAGGGGGTACGGGAGAAAGCCCGGAAACCTTCGAGGAGGATCTAGAAGGGGGCGTAGCCAGGGGAGAGCGAGGCTGCGCTGGGGGGATAAAAGGGGAACCCAGAGAGGACTCGGGGCCGTTGTTGGAGTGAACCCCTGGAGCTCGTCAAGTCTCGTAAAGTCTTAGTTATCGTCTTCAACACCGTCTCTACCCTCGTCTTCAGCGTTGTGGGTCAGGCAAGCATGTTACTGTCCTGACCCGATTAAAGTATTCCCAGTGCCTGCGAAGGCTATAAATAAACAGAGTGCCTCCTACTATGGTGTCTCTCTAGTGCATCACTACAAATGTATAAAACAATCAAATGGAGGTTCATGGCTCACCCACAGTTGCCGTTTTCTGGTTATCCAGTTGCTGCGTGAGTTTCTGGAGCTTCTTCTGCAGCCGCTTGTCCCTGCTGTCCTCGTCCTCCAGGTCATACACACACGGAGGCCGGCGCCAGCGACGCTGCCAGTATCAAGAGGGAAAGGGACATTTGCGTTGTCGCTTAGCACACTCTGCACTCGTGCACTCCCACTTTATCTCATGTTACCGTGAGTTTGTGCGTCTCGCCTGATGGCACTGTGATAGGGTGCCTGACTCTTCATTAAAATGTTTTGAGTTCAAGTCGGGGATCATCTCCGCCCATTACTCCAAGTTAAATAAAACTGGCACAGGTTTTCCTTTGAATATATTTATTCCTGTCGTAAAAATTCTAAGCAATGAATGAGGGCCAAAAAAATGAGCACCACCCCATGTCTGTTTAATCAAAGGGACACCAACCAACTTGCACTTGTCAGTTTTATCAATTGAGTTGTATATAATGTCAAGCTGTGAAAATTTCCATTCATAAAAAATATACACCAAAAGAGAATTATTTTAAAGGACTTATTTGTATGAGAATGTTGGACGTGAACATGCCAAAAGTTGTCAACTGGAGTTTGCGCTTGCTAATTTACATTGGCACAAATAATTTCCCGAAAATAAAGAGATAATTGCGTGTACCTTTTTATTACAGTAGTCGGGAGTTGTTCTTGGGTCACAGAGCACTGGATATAGTGCCTCGTCCAAGCACTTTTGGCTCTTGAGACAGCTATGAAAGGTATATTATTTAAAGCATTTCATGCAATTTTAAGCAAATGAATAAAGCCCCCCTTTGGGTATTGTTCATTACAACTATACAAATATTATGCCACTGATAAGACTTCCGCTTAAACATATAACATTGGCAATAAACATACAATATACCAAACGATTCGTTTTATAATATAAGTGAATCATTTGACAATTTTCCAGATGATCACACTCAAAAAACTCCCTATGCAGGAAACAAATCACAATGAGGGCCAATAATCTTTCATGAACAGATGTTGCACCACAAAAAAGGAGGCGGTTATCAGGTCTCAAAGTCCCACTTGGAGAAACGCTGGTCTGCGAAATTTTATATCTGAAAGCATGCAATGGGCTCTCCCTTTGGAAGATACAATGATGGACAGAACTAAATGATTTCTCTAGGCTCCAACATCCTCGAGGGGCAGAATCTTTCAGCAGATTTTAATACTTAATGAGCTAAGGTTGAGGAGAATCATATGCCCCGTGTATGTAGGATATGTTATAACATTTTGACATAATTCCTGAGGAGTGCAATTACTCTTTGACTCATTGTCAAATGTTTATTTGTTCATTACAACGCAATTGCTGTAAAACATTAGTACTTTGGAGATTATCATTTTGGAAACATTTTTTTAATTTGGATTCATATAGTCTAAATGCAACCGTATCTCAAGACACGATAAAACAGAGACATGCACAGAGGGCCATGTGCATGTCGTAGACCTTGTAGTGTGTATTAAAGTGCACACGACAGTACATGGCTAGTCTGTCAGGGTACATGCACTGTCTATAAGTGACTCGAAACACTCGCTTGGGAGTGCCGTGATTGTGCTGGGAATGTGCGTGTGCTGCTGTGCTCAGTTTGTGCCTCACTTGTCGACCCAGAGCACAGACACGAGTTTCACGCCGGTGCTCATCGCCTTGCTCCACTGTGCTCTCAAGTCCATCCTTGAAGATGACGTGGGTGACATTTTTTGTAAACTTTCTGGACACCTGAGGAAAATGCGAAATGTGCACGGAAAAGTAAACCTGAAATGTGGCCAAAACCCATTCTTCTGAAGCGAAGTTACAAAACCTCAGTGGCTCACTGCTCACAAAGTTTAAGATCTTATCAAATGAGGCAGTATTATTGATTTGAAGCTTTCGTGACTGCAGGAATCCATACTCTTTGGTTCTTTCGGTAAAGTCACGTAGGTAGAAGAAAAATAATAATAGATCATGACGTTTCGATCTTCAGGTGAAGACGGTTGCTTGTGTGGCGATCGAAACGTCGTGATCTATTATTTTTTTTCTACCTACGTGACTTTACCGAAAAAACCAAAGAATATGAGCCACTATTAATCAATATAAACAGCCTCCAAGAACAAAAGCTACAGTTTCATAAAACGTGCTATATATATGAACCAAAGTCAAATATACTTGACAATGGATGTAGTTTTTTACATCTGTATTTAACAGGAACATGTTTTTACAGACCAATGAAGTGTCAACATCAGTGTTTCCGGCACTAAATAGAATATTATGAGCATTATTAGAGGAATCCTAATACAGTGTATTCCAAATATGGTCATTACAGCTTATGCTGTTTTAATCACATAATGAAAAACAACAGCCTTTTGTTAAGAAAGCAACACATGACAAGACATGTAATGTTATTCACCAATCAGGAAGATTAAATACTATTATCTTTGAAAACATTGTCACACAAAATTCCTCGATAATATTCCCTAAAGGTCGAAAATATGCTGTACTAACAACTCACCAATAAGTAGAAATCGTCAAAGTGTCATGAACCATTTACAATCTGCTATAAACCTGTAATTTTCTGCCTAAAGCTTCCCTTGCACATGAGGGTAATCATGTTACAGATTAGCACCTCATTTATTTAGTATTGCAATCAACAAGTTTATGACAATGGCCATCGACATCGTTGCTCCAGGCTGTGTAGCAGATATGATGATCAGCTAATGCAGACAATATTAGATTCCTTATATATCGTTTTCTAGTTGTGTCCTTTCAGAAATTATTTTCTTTTGGTCAGCAAACATGTTATACTCGACTTTTGTTCTGCTATATTTATCTTGAGCACACATTTGCAGACCTCTTTGTTAAGTTCTTCAGTAAATTCCTACAGCTCATTTACATTAGTCGTTATAATGACCATGTTGCCAGCATATCTTTATTAATACACAGTATTTATTGGGGCTGTTTGACAGAATTATGCATGTGTTCATTGTAAGTATAGTTTTAAATGTAATTATACAGGAGTTTTAGTCCATACTTTAGTGTGGCGAAGACAAAGTCTTTGTTTGATTAAAATTCGATCATTTGAGCAACTTTGTTATATACAAAAGGGTAAGGTATCAAACGTAATAGAAACGTGAGCAAAAGGCAAACTGTGTATATTTAATACACTACCATATACTGCCACCTACAGGAAACAATCAGTAAACTCGTATAAGACACGTTTTACGTTATAAAGGAATTCACACCATTTTGCCCGAAGCATCTAAGACTTGAATCCTGTAATTCTTTACTCTCTTAATAATTGTATTCTGGCAACGAATATTTCTACGTATAGAGAAAAGTACATTTTAGTATATTGTATCCATCTGCTTAGTTCTGTCACTGATTATAAACTACTGCACCAATATCTGTGTAGTACCAAAATGCCTCAATGCAGTATTTGTCGTTTGAAGCAGTTATATGAACTGTGCTACTGTGGTCAATACAGTGCAAATAGGCGGATGATTCAGTACTTACTGTTGCTCCCATCATCAGCAATTGCTTACTGAAGGCCCACGTGTAGTTATCCTTATGGCTGCTGGACCAGACATCAACATAGGCCACAACATCTGTAAAACAGTGAACATGGTTATAAGCAATCATGAGTAACCTTTCACATAATGGCTATTGCAATGCTAAGGTATAGATTTCAGAATAGAATAAATAGCAGCACAAAAGACAATATCTCAGCAAATAAGGTAAACCATGCCTGGCCGTTTTGCACGTAAAGTTTTCTATTCTCAACCAGAATTTAACGAGTTCAAATACAGATTTGTGTGATGAATCAGCCCATCATCATCATAACTCCTTAGGGGTCGAATAAAATTTACACCACTTTGTGCGAAGTCAATAGCCCAGAATGTGGAAATTCTACCACTAGCTCCGAGCTGCCCATAGAAATGAGCACTCTACTGCCACAATGTTCATGTCAGTATGGCAACATTGTGACTGTATTTCATATTATTTGGGTCTTTCGGTAAAGTCACGTAGATAGGTTCAAAGAAAATAACAAAATAACAAAAAAATACGACTTTTTTTCAGCCCGATGACAACTGCTTGCGTTGCGATCAAAAGGTCGTAGTTTTGTTATTTTCTTTGAACCTATCTACGTGATTTTACCAAAAGAACCAAAGAATATTAATTCCTGATTCATTCATTTTGTATCCATCAGACTAACTTAGATCATTGACGACCAATTGTGGGCATGGGCCCACACACGGTCAGCAACAGCAGTGCTTAAATCATCAGCTGCGCACCGCTGCTCTAAGGCGAGGCATCATCCGCTTTTCACCACAGATGAAGAAGTTAATGTTCTGGGCCTGGCTGAGACGGCCCCCCACTTGCTGAGGTTTGCTTTGTAGCAGCCGACACCAGTACAGACGCAGTTGAGGCTCTTCTGACCTGAAACATCTTTTTGTACAATATGGGAAACAAATTGCCCTCAAGTGGTTGCAGGTTTAGGTAAATCTAACCTCTTGATGTGAACATTTATAATTCCTAAATAGTATTCCAAGGAACAATACATTGATTATTCTTGTTAATTACATTGGTAGATCATTGTCATGCATGCTTTATGCACAATTATTAACCATTATATCTAAAAACCTTGCACTTGTTTGGCTAGTTATTTGTAATTTACGATCATTACAGTAAATAATAATTGTATTGCAATACCTTTTAAAAAATCAAAACACACGGTCTGGTTGTTTGGTTGGTGGCTTTGCTCTGCCAGCAGGTCTTCAGTAACCTGGTCACCTTCAAAATCTTCAACACCCTTGCTCTGCAGACATAAAAAATAGTAGATGACATTAAATCTTCACACCAAATTTGAATCTAAAATGCTATGCAGCCTTGTTTGAATATAAACAATAAATGTAACCATCTTCTTGGTTCTTTCGGTAAAGTCACGTAGAAGGGAAGTAATAAAATAATAAAAATAAAACATAATAAAACAATTCTCACGACGTTTCGGCCACAACGCAAGCAGCCGTCCTCAGGTGAAAACCAGGTCCGTCGAGGCGACAGAGTCTGAATGAAACAGCACACGGGCTTAGAGCATATATATAAGCTGGGCGCATTGACAAAGGAATTTGCATATCAACAGGAATTTAGCATATTTATGGGAAATGCAGGAATGTAATTAGTACTGCATATGCATGTGCATTATGCAGGATTAACAGCATCAAAGGGAGCTGCAGTTACTGCTGCTGCAGCAGTTGCTGCTGCTGCTGCAGTTTCTGCTGCTGCTGCAGTTGCTGCTGCTGCTGCAGCTGCTGCTGCTGCAGCTGCTGCTGCTGCAGTTGCTGCTGCTGCTGCAGCTGCTGCTGCACTTGCTGCTGCTGCTGCACTTGCTGCTGCTGCTGCACTTGCTGCTGCTGCTGCACTTGCTGCTGCTGCTGCAGTTGCTGCCTTATCCATTTTAATATAACACTATGTATTATTCTACCCACCCTAATGTGTATCATACTGCTATATGTTTACTGTACAATTACGACACCATACATTACTCTGCACACTGCACCATGCCAGTGAGTGGAACGCGGTCTGAAAGTCACCGTTAACGTGAACACAATCAGTTAAGATCCGAAATGGTTTATTACGTCCTTCCAATGATTGCTAAGCCAGAATCCATCTTCTCGGTTGAAATTGTCTCTGTGTTTGTATATGTGGATCGCCTCATGAACAAACACAGAGACAATTTCAACCGAGAAGATGGATTCTGGCTTAGCAATCATTGGAAGGACGTAATAAACCATTTCGGATCTTAACTGATTGTGTTCACGTTAACGGTGACTTTCAGACCGCGTTCCACTCACTGGCATGGTGCAGTGTGCAGAGTAATGTATGGTGTCGTAATTGTACAGTAAACATATAGCAGTATGATACACATTAGGGTGGGTAGAATAATACATAGTGTTATATTAAAATGGATAAGGCAGCAACTACAGCAGCAGCAGCAAGTGCAGCAGCAGCAGCAAGTGCAGCAGCAGCAGCAAGTGCAGCAGCAGCAGCAAGAGCAGCAGCAGCAGCAGCTGCAGCAGCAGCAGCAACTGCAGCAGCAGCAGAAACTGCAGCAGCAGCAGTAACTGCAGCTCCCTTTGATGCTGTTAATCCTGCATAATGCACATGCATATGCAGTACTAATTACATTCCTGCATTTCCCATAAATATGCTAAATTCCTGTTGATAAGCAAATTCCTTTGTCAATGCGCCCAGCTTATATATATGCTCTAAGCCCGTGTGCTGTTTCATTCAGACTCTGTCGCCTCGACGGACCTGGTTTTCACCTGAGGACGGCTGCTTGCGTTGTGGCCGAAACGTCGTGAGAATTGTTTTATTATGTTTTATTTTTATTATTTTATTACTTCCCTTCTACGTGACTTTACCGAAAGAACCAAGAAGATGAATCCCTGCAGTCACGAAAGCTTTAAATCGAAATGTAACCACTTTACCTGTGGCAGGCCCTTGTCCATAGCTCTCACCCAAAGGGACGGACTTTGGGCACATTACCAACCAGAATGCATCATTCCACTGGCTTTTGCGCTGCAAAATATGTTAACATACATCGAATGAGTGTAGACTCCACAGAACATAAACATTTTGAGGGTACTTATTACATGTACAGTATTTGGTTATATTGATGGTGCAAAGGACTCATTAATTCACAATGATGGTGCTAAGGAACTCATTGGGCATGATTTTATGGGAGTAATACCAATGATTTTATGGGCGTAATACCAATGATTAAGCAGTATTACTTCAGTCCATTGCTGGATGAAGGACTCCTGCACGCAGTGCGAGTCGTGTGGGTTATTTGACTACACCTTACCATGCTGGTCAGTGCAGGTTGGTGAAAAGCAGGGCACATAGACTTGGAAGCATGGACTTAAAGTACACAAATTGAGTTTCCAACACTGCCCTCTGCCGCCCACCACATGGATCGGTGGTCGCTCATCCAGAGCCATATCCAGGCATACACCTGCTTGGCTTCACAGATCCGCAATAATTTGATCAAAGGCATCGCATCAATACTATGCACTCAAGCACTTTAGCAGCAAATATAAATCACGTATTAAACGTGCACTTTTAAATACTCGTATCTAGGGAGCATTTCTACCCCATTCAGCACAAGCAGAGCTCGTGAGAGCAGAACGGCAGCCACAGATCTCACTTGTGGCGACTGAAGAGCAACTGGCGACATTACAGCTGAACGTCGAGTCTTGTACAGTACTTCCATTCGATGGTAGCGGGAGTTTAGATAACGGCTCCATGTGCGGTTTAACCGAACTCACGAGGCTTTTCGTCTGATGAGCAACACGGTTGGCTACGTACGGTACGAACGAAGTGCAACATGCACATCCATCTCCTGCACTCAACCGAGTTGTACATTGGATGAGCAGTGGGTCGGTTGTGATAGGCACATTGCACCTTCACTTTCACACACAGCAGGGCGACTTCTCAGAGCCACACGATTCGGCGAGTCAATTCCGAGCGATGATTCCCAGCTACCGTGAGCGACAACCACGACAAGAAAGGGCGGCGCTGCCGTGAGCGACAATGTCTGTGCACCGCCGTGCTTGCGTCCCCCCCTCACCCGCCGGGTGAGTCTCACCGCGATGTCGCGACTGGGCCAGGTCCTCCGCAGGCCGAGGCGGGCGCCGCCTGCGCTTCTTCCTTCTCCAGGCGCAGACACGGGCCTGAGGGCAAGGGGGGGGGCAGGGCAAGGGGGGGGGCAGGGCCAGAGGGCAAGGGGGGGGGGCAGGTCAAGGGGGGGGGGCAGGGCAGGGGGGGGGGCAGGGCAGGGGGGGGGCAGGTCAAGGGGGGGGGGGGGCAGGCCCGGGCTCGCCCGGATGGAGCCGCGCAGCAGGTCGCCTCACTCCGCCTCTCCTCACTCCGCCACGCACTGTACACCGCGCACTGTACCGTGCGGGGGGGTTTATAATTCCTACAGCTGATAGGAATGTGCCATTTTAAATTGTACCGCTGATTGACGTGTTTCTATAAATCATAGTCCATATAAACACGTCAGTACAAATTATACCATTAATAGGTTTCTTTAAATCCTACAGGTAATAGGAGTGTCTTTATAAATCATACAGCTAATAGGAGTATGTATATTATTGGGTCTTTCGGTAAAGTCCCGTAGATAGGTTGAAGGAAAATAACAAAGAGCCTAAAATAGGAATTCCTGCAGTCATGAAAGCTTTAAGTCAATATTTAATAGTATGGGTTTGAAAATCCTACAATATGAAGTACATTTACAAAGTGTACAGCCTATAGGAGTATCTTTACACACCCTAAAAATAATAGTATATTACTGCTTGCTGGAAGAGTAACAGCATTGCTGAGTGCACAAGTGATATAAGACATTGTCTTGTGGAGGTGTTGGAGGAAGTTGTGAAGCTGGGCAATGACTTCGTGGGCTTCTCCTCGGTGGGTGAAGACGTTCAGATTAAATACTGTGTTCTTCTGACAGTATCCTCACACAAACACCGCAACAGTCGCCACATGACCGAGTCGCCCTTGAAGACGAGCTTCTTGGCTCATCTGGGCTTCATCTGGGACACATTGTATTTTATTATATTATTTTATTTATGTTATTTATTCTGTTATTTATTTTCATTATTTCTTTTTTACCTACGTGACTTTACCAAAAAAAACCTAAGAGTATACACAATTATCAGTATACACATTATCAGTATACACATTATCAGTATACACATTATCAGTATACACATTATCAGTATACACATTATCAGTGTACACATTATCAGTATACACATTATCAGTATACACATTGTCAGTATACACATTGTCAGTATACACATTATCAGTGTACACATTGTCAGTGTACACATTGTCAGTATACACATTATCAGTGTACACATTGTCAGTATACACATTATCAGTATACACATTATCAGTATACACATTATCAGTATACACATTATCAGTGTACACATTGTCAGTATACACATTATCAGTATACACATTATCAGTGTACACATTGTCAGTGTACACATTATCAGTATACACATTGTCAGTGTACACATTGTCAGTGTACACATTATCAGTATACACATTATCAGTGTACACATTGTCAGTGTACACATTATCAGTATACACATTATCAGTGTACACATTGTCAGTGTACACATTATCAGTATACACATTGTCAGTATACACATTATCAGTATACACATTGTCAGTGTACACATTATCAGTATACACATTATCAGTGTACACATTATCAGTATACACATTATCAGTATACACATTATCAGTGTACACATTATCAGTGTACACATTGTCAGTAGACACATTGTCAGTATACACATTATCAGTATACACATTGTCAGTATACACATTATCAGTGTACACATTATCAGTGTACACATTATCAGTGTACACATTGTCAGTGTACACATTGTCAGTATACACATTATCAGTATACACATTATCAGTATACACATTATCAGTGTACACATTATCAGTGTACACATTATCAGTGTGCACATTGTCAGTGTACACATTATCAGTATACACATTGTCAGTATACACATTATCAGTGTGCACATTGTCAGTGTACACATTGTCAGTGTACACATTGTCAGTGTACACATTGTCAGTGTACACATTGTCAGTAGACACATTGTCAGTGTGCACATTGTTCACTTTTATCTGAACGTGACACTTCACACACTCGCGCCTTCTCGCCTATTCACCAATCCGCGCGTGTTTAGATTTCGTGCTATGGACACGTGCGGGTTTGTATTCCGTAGACCGGTCTGGCATCGGCGATTACATTCCGCACATTGGATAAGCGCCGCGACGGTGCGGCATGGAGAGGAGGAGAGCGTCGCCGCTTCGCGACTAAGACGCGTCGGCACCGTCCGCCTCGCACGGCAAACACAAACACAGAAGATCACGGGGATAAACACGCCAGCGACGCGAAATGTCGAGGCACAGGAGCGTGCGGGGATACAACTACGACGAGGGTGAGAGGGCGGGAGGCGGCGAGGCCTGGGCCTGCCTAGCGGCGGCCCCTCGGCAGGGCCTGAACCTGCGGAACATCAACATCGCTCATCATCACTTTGATAGCAGCAGCATCATCATTATCATCATCACCAGCGTCACAGCAACATCACTTCAGCAACGTCGTCGACAACATAACTTTAATGTAGCCGGCGGCATCGTCTCACGAACGTCACTTCCAACATCGTCAACATCACTGCGACAGCCACATCATCGTCACTTCAACATCTCCCGTCGAAATCATCGTCCGCGTCGTCAGTATATTGCATCAACATCATCGTAGCTTTAGCAGCAGCATCATCAGCAGCAGAAGTTTCACAATTCATAATAAAGGATGTTTTGGGTGAGATCATGTAAATATTAATGTGACGTGAAACCCGCCGACACAGCCAGCTAGTCAGGTTTGTTTCGTTAAACGTGCCAATTAGTTATGACTTTAGCACACTGGTGTGTTGGAGAGTAAACACACGGATTTACGATGTGCTGTAGTGACCGATTGGAACGTTTTGTTTACGTGATACACCTTACTAATTGGCCCTGTCGGGTGGTGGCGAGTTTCACAATGGACCAGTGATAATGGGCATCAGCAGAACATTACCATCAAACAACATCATCAGCAGCAGTGGCATCAACATCGCTGGCATCACGATTATCGACGGCATCAAATTCATCAGCGACACCAACATTAGCACAAGAATACTCATCAACAGCAGGAACATCGCAATCGCCTTCACAAATCATAACTACCAATATAAAAAGCATAGTTTATCATCTGCATTGTCAACATTACAATTCACCATTCTCAACACTGCCATCTGTTGTAGGAAAAAGCATGATCTTTACAAACGACCATTTGGCATCATGGTTATTAGCACAGAAACATTGTCACCAGTCTTCTTTATACCTTACAATCCACCGTCTTCACATAAACTAGAGAATATAAAAAGTATACTTGGTATGTGATAGGGCTTCCTAGTTTTTTGTGTCGTGACCTTGGTTGTTTGACCGATGTGTTCTTGTTGATGTATTGCAGATTTTGAGGAGGATGACCTATACGGACAATCCGTGGAAGACGATTATGGAGTTTCACCGGCAACAGGTATCTTTTTTACATTTTACTGATCAGAAGTTTCCGCGACCTCTATGACATAGAATGTAAACTGTATATAGATGTCAAAGAAGAGCATGACTGGTGCATTTTATTGCGAGTTTAAATTCTCAATATTCAGCGCTTCCTCCTTCTGAGGTCCACACAATGTACACCACTTTGTGGGTCTTCAACACCAGTTCACATAGACTGGACCCCCATTATCGACGTGGAATTTCCAGGACTTGATCAGAGTTACGAGAAGAAAGCGCTTTGCCCATCGTTGTCTGAGCAGAGGCACGTTTCTCATTATTGTCATGGTAAATTATATTAACAAAATTTACGAACATCTCTATTGCATTTTGTTTACTGTCTTACCATAATTACACGTTCATAATCGTAACCAATCTTATTTTACAGCTGCCCAGTTCATGTACCAGAGGGCTGATTTCCAGTTGGCAAATTTCGTGGATGAGCCACTGAAAGAAGAAGATGAAGAATGTGAAGAACAACCACCTGCAAAGTCCAACACACTGGGTCTCAGCGACATAGACAAAGGTACAGGACCACGAACTGTTCGTCTTGTGATTGGGTATTCTGTGCTGTCAGAAGGGTCGTTTACATTTAGCTCTTCACCCTGTGGCAGGGGAAGCATAATATTGGGCCAGTGAGATGTGGGCACACCCCGGTGACGGGGTGGAACTGGGAGATAGGGAGTGGTAGTATGTGCTAACGACCACATGACGTAATTTGCTCTTTATTAAATATTTGGCTGTAATTTTGGGTAGAGGACCTTCATGGTCTCAAGTATATATATGCTTTACTGCTCCAGTCTGCTTCCCACTGCAGCAACAAAACATTACTGTAAAATCGAATTTCAACACAACAGATATAAAATGTGTACTGGTACAATATTCATATTTTTGTCACCTCTGTGCTGGCTTTAAAACATTTACATTTTATGGACTTTTGACCATGATGTTGGTGGTGTTTCTCCCTAGCACGCTTGCACTCTTGCCTTGAGGAGATGAGGAACATTGCTGGGGATGCATTCCCTGAGCCAGTGATGGTGCAGGCGGTTTTGAACAGCAACTTTGAGATGGAGAAAGCCCTGGATTCCCTGTTTTTGCAAAGTGACAAAACACGTCCAGAAGTGAAAGAACAAAGGCTTCCCAGGTCTTCAAGAGGTAAGAATGGTTTGTAAATTAAATCTCATGGTTATTTAGGCAGAATATATTTGCGTAGAGGTTTTTGAAGTGTAATACAGCTCAGTTTTTTTTGGTTTCTAAGGAAAGTATAGCATCAAATGTGGTGGCATAGACCCATAATCCATTGCTATTGCGGCAGGGTTTCGTGTATCATTATTATTTGTGAAACTCACAAAACCACTGAGCTGAGGTGGCCAGGAGATGGCAGTACAGCCATTTGTAATGAACCTATCAATTTTAATCTTTGTTATCCCCTTTGTGGGCTCGTTCTAGATAAGCCAGTTTCCTTCCACATTACAACATTAATCAGCCGAACATTCACTTTTGGGAACCTCTGAAAAGAGATTTGAGACTCAGTGGAAATGTTCATTTCATGTACAATAACATGAAGTAATGATAAACCAATTTAAAGTAGTGCATTTCATTTGGAATGTATACCTTTTTAATTCAATCTAATACAATCAGCAGTAGAGGTATTTTACTGGAAAAGGGTTATTTCAGGGTTTTTTTGTGCCCGTACAAGTTGAATATTGATGGGAATCCATTGCAATGTAACAAAAACATGCTCAGAATGTTTGTTATAAATGAATGTCTTTTATTGAAACAAAACATTGTACCATTATATGCCCGCAATATTTTCTTTTGATGTTTTTGTCTTTTTAATTTTTAACAAAATGCCATTTTCATTTTCTCTTTCCACCAACCCCATCATCTTTCCTTCATGTGTTGCTGTCTGGCCGTCGTGATTGGTCTTCGACAATTGTCATTTGGCTCTCGTAAGGTAAGAAGCCATATCTGTACAATTACCAGCTTGTATTGGAATTGACAGCAATGACACACCTGGTTCACTAGGAATGCACCTTCCACCTCAGTCGTCTGACTTGAGTTGCACTTGTTCAGGAAAAGTAGACAAATCCCATGCTTTAAGTTCCGTACAATATTCACCTAATCCATCGGCGTGCGGGCAATCTTTAGATTTACGCCACCTTCTGTCAGAAACTTACAATCCAGAAATAACAGGGACTGAGCAATCTGAAGAATTTAAGCAAATTTCAAAGGAATCAAATAAAATCAGTGGCCTATCGCTTTCATCCCTCTTAAATGATGAACAGCTTTTGCAAAATGCTACATCATTCCACAATAAGAAAGTTGACAAGTGCTCAGAAAAAAACTTAAATTCTTCTTTCAAATCTTTACCATCAAATACTCAAAATATGTCTTTAGCTGAACTTGCAAAGGGACCTTTAGCTAGTGGAACTGAGGTAATGTCTTTGGAAAAGGGTTCTTGGTCTCCTTTCAGTACATCAGGAGGCCTCTTGCTGTCTGCACTCGCCAACAATGTCCACAGCCCTTCCTTGACACAGCCGGTGGCCATCGGAACTATTAGATCTAGCCAAAAATATCACAACGCCCATGTGTTGTCCCAGAGTTTAGAATCAAATTCCTCAGATGTTATGTCCATTGGCCTAGAAAAGCTTATGCAACCTGCTGATGGCATGGGATCTTCTGAGAGTAGTTTCAGTTCATCTCCATGCCTCGGAGGGGTCAATTTGGGAAGTTTTCTACTCGACACACCAAGTCTTGCATCTCTGATTAACAAACAGGAACAAGCATCGCCTCCACAGATACAAAGCAGTACATCATCAGTGAGCAATGCCATTGGTACTGGCATAAACAGCTTGTCAATCGGATCTTTATCTTTGGCCGATCTTGCCAAGCGGCATAATGAAAATGCCACAAAGTCTCTTTCATCTTCACCTCGTTTGCGAGATTTGGCTCCGGGTTTCTCAAATGTAATGTCTGACTCAGCCTTGGCTGTTGATCTTAACAAATGTGGGCATCCATCTCAAGAGTCAATTTCAGCATCAGCCTTAAAACCTAAAGCAATTAAAGCTGTGCACAATTCAACTTATCCACTTAATGTAAATTTAGAGAACGTGCAACCATTTTCGGATGTAAAACCAAACATGCTCTGCAATGCTGTTTCCACTAAGATTATATTACATGAGACAAAAAACATAAAGCAGCAAACAGTGGGTAGTCGCTCCCAGAAAATATCGAGAACCAACAGAACACAGCTGTTCAAGAATCCCTCCGGCCTTGCTATGGCTCTTTGTTTCCAGCCACCAAACCAGTTACTGAGAGATAAAAGTAAAATCCGTTTTCGAGTGTTTGAGTATGAGAGGCAGGCTAAACATGTGCATGTTAAAGAAGAAGAAGATCCACTCGCAGAAGTTAAGTTCTTTAACTTTGATGTGCCATCGCCAGATGATGTTGTGAAAAGCCTCCAGAAGAATGCATTTACTCGAGGAGAGGTGGTGTAATATCATGCTAATGTTGGTACTCCTGGTTAGCTTTCTTTGACAAACTAACGTGGCTTTTAATAGTATGCCATACAAATGATTAAATATAGTTTGTGAATATTTAAATAATTTATATGACAGCTTGAGTAAACCTTTTTATAATCGTACATTGAACGTTATTTTTTATTTTGCCTGGAAAGGCCCGCTGAGCTCCATGTAGCTCTTTTAAAGAAGCGACCTGGCCACAAATTATAGCTCAAAGAAGTGGCTTTTAACGTGGAAATGTATAGCAGCCAAATACTCATCCTAAACACATAGTGAGTGGAGGGAAAAACCGTAGGACCCAAAGAAAAATCCATGTGACTAACGGGAGAACATACATGGGTCAGGGTCGGGATTCAACCCATGACCTCCTGCACACTATTCAAGGTAGTTAACACCTCGCCACCACGGCGCTCAAGTGAGCACAATTCCCAAAAGAACAACTACAATTCATGCTTGGTGTATCTATTCAAATATTTTATAGCAGTCATTGATGGACTGCCTAAACTCAGGTTTTGGATAAGTCCAGTATTAAGTTTTAAGTGGGGATTGGTAGCTCTGCTGGCAAAATTTCTTTTCTCATTACTGCATTTAGATGAACGTGGTAGTTGATATCCTGTATTTGCGTGTAATTGCCAATGTATTAAAACAAATTCCAAAAACATTGGCAACTGCATGTCCAGATGAGAATACTGCAATATTTAGAGTGTACCAAAAAGTAATGTTTGATCGAATATAAGCCAGGCACAAATCCTGTCTTTCAATGTACAGGGACAAATTCTTGGATAAATAGAGCAACATACACCAGCACCCTCCAGGATTTCCACTTTTGAGTGACATGCTTCTTTGTGCTAATCTAAATGTATTGTCTTATTATTTTTTAGGTGTCGTTGCAATGCTTATACTAATATACCTTCAGTTATTATGCACTGATAGGTGGCAGTTGTAAACTATTATATAATTGGAAATAAATCTATCAGACCACCTGCACATAGGTGGTATTTTAGTTACCTTAATGTACGTGAATATTGATTGACCACACAATAATTAATCTTCGTAGTATGTGTTCAAAGCTGTCATGAACATTAATGACCTCAAAACATACATCAGCAAGTTTAATCTAGAGTCGTTAGGCACGTGTGTAATTTTAGTGTCTTTATACATTTTAAAAAGCATTTTTAAAAAGTTATTGGTAAAAATAAGCAAAAAAGCAAAAAGGTTCATAGTATGTACATTAACTTTTTTAACCCCCATTCTGTGGCAGTTAGTGAAGAAAGTTATTTAAAACGAGTGTAGGTATAAGTATACACTCTTTATTTTAGTAAATAAACCTGGGCAAGTTATACGAAATACATTTTAAATGAGCAAAGTTAATTTAGTGAGCTCTGCATTTTCATATTTTGGTAGTATTCCTTGAAAAAAAACTAGTTTTTCAATCATTAATACAAGAAGTTGTAAATAAAAACCCAATTTTAAACATTTAATAAAAAAAAATCTGACAGTTGGTGTAGCTCACAACGATGTGGTGGATGTATATTTGAATTACAGTAGTAATACTTTTAGGAAACCTTCTTTTCCTCTAGCAGGCAATGCTACACGACTGCAGTGGTTTGGAAGCAAACTTAGATTGCTTCTTAATACATTATTTCATAATTGACCAATTATATGCTACTATTATAATACACAAAAGCCTTTTTGAAAATACTACATTGCTATAATAGCGTTTTATCAACCACAGCAAACCATCCAAGCTTGGCCCTTACCAAAACACTAAAATCTACTGAGTTGAAAACATAGATTGGTATTTAATGACCAATATTTTTCAACATCCTGTTATTATTAAATTATGACAGTACTGTACTGAAAACTTTTAACTGCACCTCTAAAAATGTATTTTGGTTTGTTAAATCATCCAGTTTCTCGTCATGTGGTTAGAACAAATGGTTTGGTGTTTGTATGCTTGGCATGTATACAGATATATAGAACGGTAATTAAGAAGAATCACTGAGAAAGCCATCATGAATCTGTTAATGTTAGAAATGACTCTTGTGTAATCTTGTTAAATGTAGTGCTTTAGGATAGTATTGTGAGCTCTGCCAAACATATTTTGTTTTAATGCAATGTATAAATATTTGTAATTCTATCAATTATGAGAAGTACTTTTGTAAAGCTTCAGTTCTTCAGTGCATGGGGTCTGATTCTTACTTGGTGAAAGCTCCTTTCAACTCAGGTTTGTGTGTCCTCGTGTGTGGGTCTGAGGAAAGGCATTTTATCAATATGTGAATTGAAGCCGAAATGTTTAAAGTGCAGCTCTGTGATATTTTATATATATTGTGGGTTTTTAGATTGTATTGATGCTTCAGTATTTTTTATTATGTTATAACTTATATGTGTATTCGTGTCACTGTCATGGCTCGCTTCTGGCTGTTTTATACCTTTTAATTCAAAATACTAGTTGAGCAAAACTTCACCAAGGCTCGGCTCAATATTCTTGATCTTTAGTGGATCTTTAATTTACTCTTGTAATCATATGTATAATTTTCTTGCAGTACTGTTATTTAAAAGTAATGGGATTTGATTGAGTGGCTTTTGTAACATTGTTTTAATAAAGACTGCAGTTGATATTACAACATTTAGATATGCTTGTGTTACTGCAAGCCTGTGTGTAGTTGGCTGGGTGATCCTGGGAAAAATTATAATCTCATAATCAGAAAGCTGTGGCTTTAAAACTTGGTTTGGGTCGACTCAGCCCAACGTCTGTCATGGGTGAAGAAATTAGTACCACTTTGACTTTGTGAGAAGTCAGCAGTGGTTATTTATATGGAGAATGGCCGATGCGCTGGTAATGGAATATTGACGCCACTGGCTGAGGGCCACCAACAGAGATGAGTACTGCCCCATTGCTCACTTTAATGTGCCTGGGCATTACAACAGTGCATGTGGATGTACTGTACACTGAAAATAATTTCTACTCGATAAGAGAATGTGTACATAAGGTGCGGGGATCCTTTTCCTTACCGAGGGCTGAAATAGGCCTTAAAAATACCCTGACCAGGCCACCCATTAACAAACTCTTTAACGACTTATGTCACTTCAAGACTGAGTGTGCTAAACATAGTGTTGCCAGGTCCAAATGATTCCACAAGTACCTGGTTAGTGTGACTAAGATACACAGATAGATAGATAAATGTAGTTTGTTTCAAAGTGGTAGTTCTCATGTGGCCATGGGTCATATGAAAAATGTAGTTTCAGGCTATAGGCTCCCCACCCCTGATCTACAGCAAGCTGTTTATAGTCAACTCAGGCCAACACTCCATTGTCATACGTGGATGGTATCAATATTTTTTTTAAATAATCATTTCCCTGAGTTGTGAAAATAGTTTTGGGCTGCATAATGGCCTTGAATTCTGGAACCATTAAGTCAGTAATTCCCTGTTTTTATAAAGAAAAGCTGCTTTCAGCTGGTTTATAAGTTGATTTGGTAACAACATACAACTAGCATTTGTAAAAAAAAAACTGCAGAAAAGACAAAGAAGCTAATGCTGAGCAGAGATCTCTGTATGTCAACCATTGCTATAATGGTGTACTGCAATGCACAGGGAGGGTGGGTTTGTTTTTTCGTGTAGCCTTGTTGAAATATGTTTGGGTAATGTAAAATCAAAAAAATTCTGGACAACGGACACAGGAGAGTGTCCTGCCATCCAGGCTTTCAGATTCCCTTGGCATGCGGAGGTCCGTAGACTAACATAGTCCAGGGGGCATGCACCCCCCAGCCTTGTGAATGAAGAGGCGAGGGGACCCCAGCAAGGCTGTGATGTCATCAGAGGAAGCTCTGGCACTGGGCATCAGTCACGTGACCAATGTTTAAAATATGTTTTTTTACAATCGTGAAATAAACTCCCTTACCTGTTTCTCAAACTCACCTGTCCGCTTCTGATACACAACCTGGGTTTGTATCTGCAAACATGTTGTTCATTTAATTTGTAGGTTTCGCTTCGTCAATTGGGCTTATCAAAATGACAAGGCTTTAGAAAGTGAAAGTAGAGTACATATTTATTATGTCAGTGAGTTTTAAAATACATTATTTAGTTGTTTACTTAATTGAAAGTGACCCTCGTATCTCGTTAAGTTGGATTTATTTTCGTAAACGGTGGTTATCCTCACGGAGAAACTGCCCTCCGCCACTTGAATGTGGAAATGTACAGCACTGGCTCAAAACCACTAATTGGAATAAGCACTGCCCCAATGGAGATGCTAATAATTTTAACATTAGCAAAAATAGCTATGCTAATGATATTGTTTCAATCTACATTTTGCGTGGCAGCAGGGAAAAGAGGGGAGGCATCATCTGTCTCCAAAGCAGAGTTGACATTGTACCAAAAGTTGCAAAGATGACAATATCAGGAAAACAGACCATTGGATTTGATGCCTCAATTGGCAGGTATGTGTGTTACTTTAGATACATTTGCATTTTACTATTTTACGTAGAAATTTTTACAGTGGTTTTTATCATTTTTAACATGTGTTACATGCATTGCATTTACAACTACAATTTTTAATTCACAGTCCAAATGGCCAGATTTCAAATACCTCGAATAAGGAGTCCCATTCCGAATCCGTTCAAAGCACTTCGTCTTCAGCGATGTGCACAAAGCAAACGCTGCTTTCTGAAGGTCCCACGTTGGTGTCAAATCTGAAACTGTCTCCTAAGCCCCCTGCCAAAGTGGGTCTACACACAGAAGACACACCCACTGGGACAGGGACTCCTGGCAAGCAGGCCGGAAAGAACCGTACAAAGCTTGATGTGAAGTCTGAGCTTGAGAAGAGACAGGGTGGCAAGCAGCTCATCAACCTCGTCGTAATAGGTAACACGCACCGGCGAATCGAATCATAACAATGCGAATTAGATAGAAACATTATTGGACAAGGCAACGAGAGGGTATCTTATGAACAGACTGGCCCCTGCCATGTGAAAATATGGAAATGTACACCAATATGGTTGATCATTGCCCCTTTTCGCTTGAGCAGGAAGCACCAACTTTGTTGGAAATTTAGATCCCCAACATGTAATACCTGGCAAATTGGGTTGTAAAACAACCCATGTGAGATAGGCAAAGTAATATTGTTTTATCTGTTGGGTCTATAAAATGATGTTGCGAATAACACATTCATTTAGAAAGGGCAATGTTTTACATAGTTTCCTTGGTCTTTGGTTCTTTCGTTAAAGTCAGGTACCAAAAGAACCAAAGAGTATGGATTCCAGCAGTCACGAAAGCTTCAAATCATAGTTTTCTTGGTTAAAGTGTTGTTGATATTAATTTACATATACGGTAGTAATGCGTTAACCATTGCAATCTTTTTCGTGTGCAGGCCATGTTGATGCTGGTAAGAGCACATTAATGGGGCACCTTCTGTATCTGCTTGGAAATGTCAACAAGCGGGCAATGCACAAGTATGAGCAGGAGTCGAAAAAAGCTGGCAAGGCCTCCTTTGCCTACGCTTGGGTTTTGGATGAAACTGGCGAGGAGCGCGAAAGGTCACAGCATTTCACCTCCACAACTCCACACTGCCACAGCATGCAATACATTTTTTTACCATCCTTGACTGTTCGTCTGCATTTTTTAAAGGCACATTTGTTTATTCAAGGAAACATTTTTTGTTTAATTCGAGGAGAACTCAAGAGAGCAGGGTAGTCTCATCTTTCAAAAGTGATCTGCGTAACAGTTGCTGAGCACAGGTCCAAAGGTCCAAAACGTCAAGCAACCAAAGTTGTAATCAGAGGATGTATATAAAAAAAACATCGTACTGCTTATGAATACCATTATTTTGGAATCGTGAAACATTTTATTGTAAAACAACTGTTCTTCACTATTTTAGAGTCTAAATATTTAGTGAAGCGGTAATAGTAGGGTCTAGTTTGAGCCACTTGCCCAGCTGGCTACACTAGAGCAGGACGTGCCAATAAAGTAATTTGTGCTGGAAATAGTTTTGCTTGTAAGTTGAGTCTCTCGCAGTGACCACAGGTGAAGCTGGCACACTGCCTAAACCCAAATTGACTCCTGTGAAGTCAGACGTAAAGGATCTCACTGTTGGCTCATCATTAAATGTCATTCAATCAATGACCTCTGTTTAGAACTAAGTTATAGCCCATTGAGACCAAAGTCACTTTAGCATGGGAGGCAAGACCTGATGCCGAGACAAGGAGGAAAAGTCCACAGTGCAAAGATGGAATGAAGCGACCTAAAGTTAAAAAATTTAAAGGAGCATGCGCATTTATTCCAATTAAATTCCGTACACAGTAACAGAAAACATGATGAATAGTAAAATTCACAATAAACAATATATTGTTATTTGAAGATGAATTTGGTGAATTTAGAAGATAAATATTGACAGTTTATTTGCAGTCATGCTAATGTGCGCATGAACAACCATGAACGGTAGTATAATGACCTTTCCCACTTCATAAATTTGAATAACAAATACATACGTTCACAAGAACATTTTCTACAGTTATAAGGTGTCAATGTTATGAATTACGTAAATAGAAATGCATTTAATAATCGGTTTAAAACTGAAGTTTTGTCTGTTTTCATTGTAGAGGTGTGACAATGGATGTAGGCCTAACCAAGTTTGAAAGTAAAACGAAGCTGGTGACACTAATGGATGCCCCCGGGCACAAGGACTTCATCCCAAACATGATCACGGGAGCTGCCCAGGTACAAATGCCCTATCCTTTTTCCTATAACATATTAAATGTCTGCTGGACTCAGGCTGTTACTAGGCCATTCACACGTTGACTTGTCAATGTGATGTTCCAACTGGGCCCACAAAATAATTAGCTTGTCAGACTCCCGTGCTCTGGAGACGCACGTAATATACAATAAGTATGTATGTTATACTTCTTCGCACCGTACGAAGCTATCTGTGCTAATTGGAGGTGCAAATAGTGTTGACTCTATTCCCTGGCCACCCTGGGAGACCCATTATGTCAGGCACCACCAGCCCACCTCTGCTCCCATGATAACTGGTTGTGAAGATGTGTGTTCACCAGTTCTCCTTGGCTAACATTGCGTAGAGGTTGGTGTGACATGGGATCACCGCGTGCACGTATTGTGTGTGACAGGCGGACGTCGCTCTGCTGGTGGTTGACTCGATCACGGGCGAGTTCGAGGCCGGCTTCGAGGCGGGAGGGCAAACGAGGGAGCACGCTCTGCTCGTGCGGTCGCTGGGAGTCACCCAGCTAGCTGTCGCGATCAACAAGATGGACATGGTAAGTGGAGCAGCATGATAGAAACCATTTGTGTCGCTTCACCTGAGAGTTTGAATTGAGCTTTTCATTCATATTGCTCCATTTGAAAACGTGAGGGGTAATTTACTTCCATGACCAATGACAATTTTGTCACGAATTTATTTCAGTTATTTGACAAAAGATCTATAAGGAAATAAAATGATGTACTTATCAATTTGACGCAAATGTTATCATTTATGTGTGCTTGGTAGCTTATGCCTGTAATCCAGTAATTTGAAGGGTAGGTTAGATTATTGAGAGATCACTGTGAGAGATGACCAGGAGATGGCAGCACCACAAATGGGTTTCTTAAACATTTAACTCTGCTGTGTTATCCTCTCACATGGCTAGATTTTCATCTGGCACTATGGCTCCCGCTCAACCAATGCTGCTGCGAAGCACACCCCCCATGCTTTCCGAAGTTTTGGTCGTAAAAATACCGTGCAGTTGCAAATCCGAACAGACCAAGGATCAGGTGAATGTTGAATCGGCCTCTAGTGCTGTTGATAACATTGTATCCCTGTGAATTCGTTTATTTCTAGCTGAATTGGTCAAAGGAGAGGTTTGAAGAAATCACGAGCAAACTGGGACAGTTTCTCAAACAAGCTGGTTTTAAGGTAAGATGATTAAACGTTTCAATGTTGTGTTGCAATGGCAATTGCAGGGCTGTGCGAGTTATTTCCAAGGTGATTGGAGGTCACCACTTGCATGCTACAGCATTGCAGTATCATCTTTCAGTGAGAGCCCCTCATCGGATGCTTCAGTCTAAGGTCCAAATGTAGATAGAATCACGTGTGTGATGCAGCTTGCTTATTTTAAATAAAACAGGTATAGCTGTATGGTATTATGGAGGGAATTAAAAGTTTATCGTAAAATGTAATACTATAATTAGTATTGGTAGGATACTGAATGATGGAAACATTTAATTTTGCAGCAAAAGATGACACAGGAAATAATGTGCATTTTGGAATATTGTGCAAATGTACAACTTGTAAACATTATTATTGTAACACTTTTAGGAATTGAAATTTTCATAAGATTGTCACAACAGATAGGCAGGCTTGCTGTGCACTGGGCTGCCCCAACCGTCTGATCATGTGATCACCATTCACACGTGCAGGAGTCCGAAGTGACTTACATCCCGACCAGCGGACTCTCGGGGGAGAATCTCGCAATGAGAAGCAAAGAGGAGAAGCTTACAAGCTGGTACAGCGGACCCTGCCTGCTCGATTGCATAGGTAATGGCCATGTCAGTGTTCACGTTCATACACAGGGATTTTCATGTCTGTGGTGGTGATTTCACTTCACGCTCATTAGTAGTGTGTCCCGTAATCTTGCTTACACTGTTGGTTCTAATAGTCGTTTATTCACCTCGAAAAACCTCATGAATGATCTGCATTGGGATGTTTGAGTGGTATTTTTAAGATGTGTGTTTTTATTGTGGAACTAAACCATTATAAATGGAGAAAGAAAACCCATGCAGTATGGGATGCTATTTACAATTCCTACGGACTGGTGAGGTACCAACTTTCTTACTGATATACTGATATTTGCTGGTGACATTGAATCCCATTAGATCAGAAGTGTCACAGCACATTGTAATCCCTGTGTGATCCATCAACCCAGTCTAATAAGTGTTGAATTTCAGGTATGTGCTACCATGCCCAGACATGCCTGGACGTTTACAGTTTAAAACATCAATGCAATACATGATTATACTTCGTAATTACTATTTACTCAACTTATAAATCTCTTCTAGAAGCTTTTAAAAGTATTTAATGTCATTCAAGCTAAGTTTGTACCTTATTTATTAACTTCTCCTGACAAAGTGATAGATAATTATTATAATCCACATTCATTAATTCATAGTTGAAAAGAGATTTAATCTAATTTAGTGACATTTTGGACAATCCAGTGTGGTGGTAAGGTATTGAAGGATGTATCATTTGATGTTCACTCGCACAAGAAAAGTGTTGTTTGTTTAACCAGTGGAGAACTCAATAAGCCATATAGAATGGCCAAGAATCGTCAAAATAACAAAAAGGAATGGAATAAGTACAACCACGTTAGAGGAGAAATCAAGGATTCTGCATCAATATTTAGAAACATAAAATGTCCTGAAACATACGTTGCCTCAGTGAGATGACGTCAAGCATCGTACAGAATTAGGTAATCATAGCACTGATAGTTAAATAGGATGAGATATGTGTCACGTCCAGAAGAAATGGCCCCTCTCGGCAAACAATAACGAACTTTGTTTTGTTTTTTTCCCAGATTCTTTTCGCCCCCCTCAGCGGCCTGTGGATAAGCCCTGCAGGCTCTGTGTCTCTGACGTGTTTAAAGGTCTGATTCACACCCCTTTAGGGTTTAAGATCTGAACCGTAAAATTCATCAAAGCATCTGATTTATGTGGCATGTTGTATTTGTAGCCAGGTGTCACTGCAGATAAACCACTTGACTGAGGACGTTGCGAGTTCATGTATTGCAACTGGGGCTCGACGCAGCCATCGTGCCTTGTCGGTTGTTCCATTGAACTACCTCTTTGTGAGATGCCAACAATGGTCATCCTAATGATAAACTCCCCCCTCCCCCCACCCACATTTGGAATATGTAATTGCCATCACTGGTTTAGTGTCCCCAAAGGATAAGAACACTGCCATTTGTTCGTTTGAGCAAGGTGACACTTAGGCTTTGACATGACCTGCCTGTTTATTTTGTTGCATCTGAATACCTGAAATGTGTCAGTTGTGTTTAGACTTGCGTTTGCTGTCTATCTTTACCAGACGTGGGTGCGGGGTTTTCTGTTGCTGGGAAGGTTGAGGCGGGCTATCTGCAGACTGGCGATAGGCTGGTCGTTATGCCAGCTAACGAAATGTGCACAGTAAAAGGTAAACTAAATATGAACAATAGCATCAGTGAAGTCACATCACTGCTGTTTTTGCAGTCACATGTGTAATTTCATAATAAGATATGCATGTGATATGGCACCTAATTGACACATATATACAATGCTCTCACAAAATATTCTTTTTGCAATTGTTTTTGTTTAAGTATTGAGTGTATGTCACTGAAAATGTTAGTAATGTCACACTGCTGAAACTTGATTTTTAAGCTGGCTCATTCCAGGATAATTGTTTACACCAAACCAGATGTGTCAGCTGTGAATAATCATGTTGTACATGTTGGAGACCATATGTTGCTACATCAGCAGTATGTCCTTTCTCATCTCACTTTCCGGTAACAACAAAGCACTTATAATTCCGGGCCGTCTAATTCACTTGTACTTTATTTAGCACCTGCACAGCCTAATGCAGTTTCGTGGAGGGGCAGGTGGTTTTTTTTGGCTAGGTGAATAGCCACCCACCTTCCAAACCCACACGTGTGTGCAGTAGCAGTACAGACAATGGCCAGGGGCTTGCCAGAACCCCTGCACGGTGAGCAAAAACAATCGGCTGCTAAAGTGTGCTGACAGAGTGAAGAACCTTTGTTTGCCTCTGTTCTTGGTGCGCCGGCGTCTCACGACAGGTGTTGCTTATTGCAGGCATCACGCTACACGACGAGCCCATGGACTGGGCAGCTGCAGGCGATCACGTCACCCTTAACGTGACGGGCATGGACATGATCAAAGTCGGGTATGGCTGCGTCGCCATAATTACAGCGTTTTCGTGCTTTTCTTTCGGGAATAAACACCCAAGATATGTGTGTAGATTTACAAAAAATAGTCTGCATGGCAGTAACAGACTTCCATGTAAATTCACAGAAGATAAATTGTAAACTTAACTGGTTACTCATGTAATTAATAACTTATTTAAAAATATATGTATTTATATAATATTTGCGTTGACTATAAATACGAATGATCAAAAAATAATTTTGTTTGAAGCAGATTGTAATGGGTAAATGATACTCAAAATGTTTTGCAGTGTGTGGCTCTGCGTAACACAGTCCTTACAGCATGTGAGTGGTTGTGCAGTTATCCGAAGTTATTGTGCTTGGCACCGCAGACTGTGACCTGGTGCTGCAGCTCGAAGGGCTGCAGCACCAGGTGGTTCCGCTGTTGACATGCTTGTTGCTCTATCCTATTCCCTCTCGTCCCTACAGCGTTGGCAGCGTGGTGTGCGACCCAAAAGAACCAATCAGGGCGAGCACTCGCGTGCGCGCCCGTATCCTCATCTTCAACATTGACCTGCCCATCACCAGAGGCTTCCCTGTGAGAGCAACAGCTGAGTGTGTCCTTAGCTGCAGTCTTACAGCAGCTGTCAGTGTCGTGGTCAAACACTGAGGTGGCTCAGTGGTAGAGTGAGCGGCTCACTCTCGAAAGGTTGAAAGTTTAATCGTACTTGGGGGTTGACTCGGCACATCATCCTTCTGTGGTTGATAAAATGAAAACCACTTTGTGGAGAAGTCAACAGTGTTTTCTGCATATAATCATCCCGTCATAGGATTCTAGAATTTATACCACAAAGTGTCTTTGAGCACGAAATTACTTTGACTATTTAACATAGGTTATGTTTTGATAATATACCCGAGTGTCTCATAGGGATAAATTAATCCAAATTGCATTGACATAAAACGATACATTTGTATTGACCTCGCGTATGTATGTTGAACTTCTTTCGCACCGTAAAGAGCCATCCATGCTGATAGGACTGCAAATCAATATTTGTGTTGCTTTATGTTAAATGGTAGTGTCTCTAATGGCTGCAGTGGCAACAAACTGAGAGAAAGTGATACAGGGAAAGAGAAAGAGACGAGAGACAGAGAAGGATGGGACACAGTGAGACATGGATACACATGCGGAGTTGTGGCATGCTAACTTCACACTGTATACATGTCAACACCAATGCTCGACTTGGTGATCCAGTGAAAGGGGAATGTTTACAATGATGTGAACAGCAGAGTTTGCTGTGGCATGATTAGCCTAACCAGGCTGTGGGCACAGGGCAAAGGGGTGCACTTGGATCCATCAAGAGAATTGTGGCGCAGGTTAAATGGCGCAGGGTCTCGTGATTAGCCTGACTGCTGTGGGCGCAGGGCAAAGGTGCCCTTGGATCAATCACTGGGTGGGAAATGTGCTGCTGACCCAGCCTTTGTAGAAGCTTGACGTCACTCGGGCTCTCTCGCAGGTTGTTGTCTTCACCCGTGAAGAGGAATGGCCTCTTTCTCTTGCCAGGTGTTGTTGCACTACCAGACTGTCAGCGAGCCTGCTGTTATCAAGAAGCTCATAAGTGTTCTCCACAAGAGCACAGGGGAGGTCGTGAAGACCAAACCGAGGTGGGAGCACGTTTCATTTGCATTGGACAGGAAGCTCATCATTTAGAATTTTGTCAATTACGTGAATCGGATTAAAACATGAGCAACTTCACTTTGCTCCTTTGTATAATAAATTTAAGTGGCTAAGTAACTGACATGTTTTATTTTTTTACAATGTGTTGTCTGGCTTTCAAGAAGACAACATTTTTTTGTCTTTATGTTTATACTTCAAGATTAGCATTATTACATAACCAATGCCTTTGTTTTACACACTTAAATCTCTTAAGAGCTTAACAAGCTGTACTTTTAATAATTAACAATTAAAGTAGTTGCATTGATTTTCATCATAACTCTTTTCCCGGTGATCTTCATTAAGGATTTAGTCTCGTGTGATATGATGCTATCTGGCCATGTGGATCAGCGGTAGAGCGAGCGGCTTGCAATCAGAAGGTTACGTGTTCAAATCCTGGTTGTCCTCTGGAAAGACTTTCTGGTGGCATAAGAATGTGGAATTTTTGCCACTAGCTCACGGCTGTACACGAGATGTGCAGCACCTCAATGCTTATCTGAGCGAGAAATCACTTTGACCGTTGATAGGATGCTAATAATGCTGATTGTATTGTTCCCTGCGTGACGTGTTATTGGACGCTGCCGCACTTCTTAGATGCCTTCAAAAGGGCCAGAACGCCATGGTGGAGCTGCAGATGCAGCGGCCTGTGTGCCTGGAGCGCTACAAGGATTTTCGCGAGCTCGGCCGCTTCATGCTGCGCTACAGCGGCTCCACCATCGCCGCTGGCGTCGTCACCGAGGTGAGATATCGGCCAGCAGCTGGCGCCCTTGCTCTGCTGCTAATAAAAGCCTCCACATATGGAGGTGATGGGATTTACCAAGAATATGTCTGCGTGGTGAAGCCGCGAGCTACAGGGAAGCAGAGCACGGCCTGTGCATCTTGCAGATTAAATTGCTTGTGATACGTACATGAAATAAAAAACATGTCAAGTTCATATTTCTGTATTGTGTATAAATTATATCATTTGAGGATTCTGTATTCATATAATATTTTCTTCGACATGCACAACACAGGCAAACGTTAGTTGATTTGTGGATTGAATCATGGCAAACCATTAAAGCGCTAAAAGTGGTAAAACGGTTCGGGCTGGTAGGGGTATGCGTACAGCTGATCGTTATGGTAAAAGGGTACATGACAAGCAAAAGGTCGTGAACCACTGATGTCGAGCAATGGACCGATAGCACATTTACTGTTCACGTTTCTTCATTCAATATATGATTGAATGTACCAAATATTAGCATGAGTGTGTTAATAGTATATGTAGTTCGAATGCAGTATCATGGGCTCAAGTTGCCTGTGGTGTTAGTGTAGATGGCTTTTGTAGTCAGTGAATGATAAATATGTTTTAAAGTGTTGATATGATATGATAACAAATCAGACTAAGGGGTAAATTATTGCCTCTTCATATTGTTGATATTGTGCACGAATAATACCGCTTTGTATTGTTATACATATATGCTTGTCTGTCTGCACACTGGAGGTTAAAACAAACACCGCAGTTTACACAACACCTCCATACAAATCTATATCATGTTTTTCAATTATCTTAGCAAATAGTATATTTATATTGTAATGTCTGTTTTCTTTTTCAGATCAAAGATTGACCAGAATGCATTTGAGAGAGCTATGTTGCTGTGTTTTCAACATCTTGCCAAACCCAGTTGCTCTTCATTTTCCTTTTGAAGTAGGAAAACCACAACAGCTGCTGTATAAAGACCTCTGTTCTACACAAATAGAATTCAGCGACATGCCATTATTATGTTAAATATCTTTGTCCATCTGTACTTACATACCAAATTGTAAAGTAATATATTGAACCCAACAGATTTAATGTTTGAATTATATCAACAATGGCTAGTTGAAAAACAGTAGTTTTTTTACCTTGATGGGTATTAATTTGGCCTCTTATGTTTTAATTTGCATACTATTACGTATGTTGCAACATTTCCCTGATGCAAACGATCATTGGAGGCAAGAACATTGTGCTTCCTCTAATCATGACGACTCTGAGCACACAACGGGCTGCATGGCATCAATAAACAGTGGCTCTTTGCCAGCACTCGCTTCCTTGAGACTTCTCGTTTTCTTAACGTGTGAACACAAGACGTACGAATTAACTGCACGGTTGCGTTCCACTCACATGGAAAAGTGAAGTTCCTGTTTTCTTGGATCACACCTTTTCAATTTGCCACTTTTGGTGTAAAAGTCAATTGCTAAAAACCCCATTCTAATCTGTTAATATTTAAAGGTTGTTCAGGGTCCCCTCTTCTCTGCATTTATGCCTATTCAATGACTATACCTATTGAATAGAATGCATTTATGATCTCCGTCGATAAACCAGCGAATATTTAAACTGGCAGTGCTTCGATTTAACAAGCAAATTAATAAAACCAGGAGTCATGACCTAGAAAATAACAAACTTATCATGGCATCCTACCACACAGTTGGAATGTTACGGCTAATGCTATGTTTATATGTGGAACTTCTTTCGCACCGTACGTAGTCAGCCATGCTAATCGGGAGGTGCGGGGAGGTTGGGTAACACACTACACAATGCTGCTCTAGGGCGTTGCGCCCACTGTAGGTGGACATTCCTTTGTCTTGTGGGGAGAACCTGGCTTGCCTTCACACAAGCCAAAGTGAAATATTAAAATACCTCGCCTGTTACAAGTAATTACATTACTGAAGTATATAGCAGCTGCAATGCAATTGCAATAGTAAAACTGCTTAAAATACATTTAAGGAAATAGCTTCACCGTTTCAATATTTCAGAGGTGTTGGCGTATATTTCCGAATACAATTCTTGACAGTTACACACGATGCTTTTGTGGCATTTTGTTCTACCCATACTACATTTCCCAGCATAGCAAAAATATGAATTTGATAATAACATGTGCATTGTCGACATCCATAAAACTTCATCCATTTCATGTTGAGCCGCTTCAATGTAAGGGCTATTTGTGTGGTTAGAAAGTGGTGGTAGTGCACGTGTGCTCGCGACGCACCCAGCGCCGGCTCTTCGCCACGCCGGGGAAAGGGGGAAGCTGGAGCACTGGACAGAGCCCTCCTTCAAGTCGGTGGCACGATTAAACACTTGACATCTCAACTTGAAAATGTTGCACCCAAAGATGTGACATTAAGCCATTTACGGGTTTAAAAAGTGGCGTTGCGTCATGCACGCTGTGTTTACCCTGCATACTTTTACACGCGTATTGATTATAGTGTAATGTTAGGTACTCGTCATCAGCCGTGCTAATCCACTGCTGGATGAAGGCCTCCACAATCTGTCGCCATCTTGTGCTTCTGCAACAACACGAATAGTATTGTGACTGAACTGTGGCTGTAATGCTTAATCTATTAATGAATTAATATCAAATAAGCTCACAACGCTTTATTTAGCACGACTAAACTTGTTTCTATTCGTAAGCAGTTCTCGTGCCCACCTGCAGCCACTAGATGCCGCTACAGTCACCAAAATAATCTCTCCTATGAAGCACAAAGGAGGGGGGGGGGGTCATTTGTTACATTGATCATATTCACTTTGAACACCCTAAACATATATGCAAAATGCCATACCATGCCAACCCATGAAGGTACATTTCTCAACAGATGTTCATACAGAATGACTGATGGAGGAAAATAATTAAGTGAATGTTTGTGAAGTGTAAGTTACTCTGCAGAGGTCATCGATCGCAATATGCTGGTCAAATTTTAATTTAATATAAATAACTTACAGCACGGCCAATCCACTGCTCGATGAAGGCCTCGTGCCGGGTCGATCATTGGGGTTGATCGACCATCCTTCACCTTTGCCTGCCAGTGTGGGTTGAAGTGCGGAGGCAGGAGCACTTCTGACATCACTCGCCAGTGATGTCAGATGTGGCCAGATAATTGATCGCTGGGTTCATAGCAGTGCTCGAACAACTGTGCCACGGCTCCATATGTAAGGCACAAGTAGTACATTCACAAGGTGCTGTGCTCAGCTGCCCCCATGCACAATGCGACAACTCGATGTAATTGTCCAGCAGCTGAACACATACAAACACGGTTTTATTTTTGAAGCTGTTATTCCAATTATAGATAATTTATAGAGCAGGTGGGGTTGGATAGTTAAAGAAATACAATGGGAAGATTGTATTGATATGGCAAACATGCTGTTTAGCCAACATTTAAGCAGGTGAGCTGGCAGGTGGTGAGTCGCGCAGGTTAATCAGGTGTTGTAACACTATTGTCTTATGTCTTAGCCCAGGAACACTATTGCAATTGTTATTTGAATTCTAAAACAATTTAAATAATATTAATGTGAACTGATAACCGCATAGCATGTAAGAGTGTTAGGATATTTAAAGACGTAAAAAACTTGCCATAATTTGCCACGACATTTTTTGTTTGACCTGTCATTTGTTTAAACAAATATGCCCTGTCGATTGCATTACTGTCCCTTATTGCGATGCTCCTGTCTGAAATAAGTGCTAATGGGAGTGTCGGCTTTGCCGGTCTTCCATCTACTCCCCCACGGTTACAGCAGCAGCATTGGCAAAAACAAGTGCACAAATTGCCAGGATTATTCACATGAATGTTGGTATATATTTACAGGACAATAGCCTGAGCGCTCCAATTAACTGCAAGTTTAGGGCAACCAATGGTATCAACGATCGATGATTGTTACCCTACTCTTTGGTTGTTTCGGTAAATTCACGTAGGTGAAAATAAAATAACTAAATCACGACGTTTCGGAGGCAACACAAGCTTCCAACATCAGGTGTGTTGCCTCCGAAACGTCGCGATTTATTTATTAAATTTTATTTTATTTCCACCAACGTGACTTTACCAAAATAACCAAAGAGTATGGATCCTTGCAGTCACGATAACTTCAAGTCTAGATTGTGACCCTGCCTGATGTCAAGCTAAAGAAGGTGAAGGTGTTGTCCTCAATCCACTGTTGCCAATAGGGCCTCCACTAAAATGAACTCGAGTGGTGTTTGGTCTACTCTTCCATTTTAGCCAGACTCATGTAGGCTCCCTGTCTCATGCAGGCCTGCAAAAATCATACTCAGGCCCGAAGCGCACCTGTGTATATTGAGCTTGATTTGAAAGTTTGTAAAAATCCACCGTGACCCTTGAAAGTGAAATTGACACGATACTCGCCCACGATGACTCAGGTTCTGCTGTCAGAGAACCTGTAGCAGTCTATCGATGTTTACGCTCCTGATACAAGCATGTAAGACGTGGTTGTTTATCATGCTTGCAGATTACTGGCAATGGAACAAACAGGACAATACAACCGAGTCAATAATATATTATTTAAAGTATTTCAATGATTATTTTCGGTAAAGTCACGTAGATAGGTTTAAATTAATAAAATAAACAAAAAACTACGACGTTTCGATCACAACACAAGCGATCGTCATCAGGAGGCTGTTGATTTCTCACACCAACACAGCCACCTCCACGCGCCGACCTCGACGTGGCGGCGGCTTTGCGATCTCCCATGAACACGCTAATCTCTCACATGAACATGCTAATAACCCACATTAACATGCTAATAACCCACGTTAACATGCTAATATCCCACATTAACACGCTAATCTCTCACATGAACATGCTAATAACCCAGATTAACATGCTAATAACCCACATTAACATGCTAATACCCCACATGAACATGCTAATATCCCACATTAACATGCTAATATCCCACATGAACATGCTAATATCCCACATTAACATGCTAATATCCCACATTAACATGCTAATATCTCTCATGAACATGCGAATCTCTCACATGAACATGCTAATCTCTCACATGAACATGCTAATCTCTCATGAACATGCGAATCTCTCGCATGAACATGCTAATCTCTCACATGAACATCACTAGCCCCGCCCACTTCGTTTGTGACCCTGGACCACATCCATTTTAAACCTTTAAAAGCAGCCTGCCTTGAGCAGCTTCCCTCTTGTTTTCTCCTGATGACGATCGCTCGTGTTGTGATCGAAACGTCGTCGTTTTTTGTTTGTTTTATTAATTTGAACCTATCTACGTGACTTTACCGAAAGACCCAAAGCATATGAATTCCTGCAGTCACGAAAGCTTCAAGTCGAGATTTATATGAATCATGACAGTTCCATACAATTGTGGACGGGTGCATCTTGATCACCATCAGCCTCCCCAGCCTGCCAAGACATGCCGAGTAATTTGTGTATGGCATGAAGCAGTGCTATGATTGTTTTGTGCACGTTGCCCTTCGCTCTCGTACAGCAACTTCAGAAGCAACATTAAAGGTCCCGTTTTTTAAGTTTGTCGTCTCGTCGTTGCCTTCCGGGGATGTAGAATTAAGCAAAGCTGCTCGTCTCGAGTCTTCGGGTCTCTCTCCACTCTGATGGGTCCTTTTAAGTCCGGGTCTCTGTGTGACTATGCGAGTCATGGTGGACAGCAGTTTGCGATGTATTCTGTGGTTTGGATTATGTTCTGTATCACCTCATGGTGGTTGCTCGGTGTGGAAACCTGGATTTGGCCACAAATGTCAACTGCTGTGGAGGGTTCCTCGTGCTGTTTACCCTTGCTCTTGTAATACTATACGCGTAGGTCAGCCATGAAGATGTTCGTTTGTTCATAATACATGCCTTTAAAATGGTCTCTTCCCTGGTGGATTTCTGAAATTGAAAACCAAAGTCAGAAAACAGTGTAACGATTTAGATGTTAGATCAGTAAAATAAGCGGTGTTGCTTCTACATTACTTTGTATTTGCTGTGGGGGCACATACGTAATGTATGAATGTTTTAGTTCTACAGTGAATGCGTGTTATTTGTATAGGCAGCAATTGTGGGGGTTCGAGCCGATATGGCATCGGTGTCGGGATACCAGTTTAATTCCATGTCTTCAACATCCTCATCAACCATGCCCTGTCCACTGCTGGAGGAAGACCTTCCCAAGCGGCTGCCACCTCTCACGATCCTGCATTGCAACAAATCCATGCAGCACTTGCACAGAAACTGATTTCATCGCTCCATCTCCCCTCGTGGACAGACTGACATTTTTCTTGTCATGCACATCATATTAT